AAAACAACGATTTTTTCCGCTAGGTGTCTCTGCCACGTGGAATCATTAAGAACATCGAGAGCAGAGACACTTGGCTGACAAACTAATTAGCGTTTAAGTGCATTGTATATAAAACAAATACAAAATATTATGAAATATCAACTGTTTACAAATGCGTCGAAAAATAATCAATGACTATAGGTTTTAATATCTAAATTATTTGTTTGATATTAATACCCCCTTTCATTTTTCGCAAACACTCCCTTTAAAGGGAGTGTCTGGCACTTGTGCTAAGAATGCAGTATTGTAGAGAAATTTTGCTCAACAAATATGCACCGTAAAAACTTTTTAGTTCTCGCAGTGATTTCTTAACAAAATTTTCTACAATACTGCATTCTCAGCTCAACTACCATGTCTGGCCAGACACTCCCTTTGAAACATATTTTTTACTGTTTTTTAAGATCTGTGAATCTGGGGTTTAGTACAGGAATATTTCAAGCTGGATCCTCATAATTCCGATCTGAGCTGATGTTTTAAGCTGGATCCTCATAATTCCGATCTGAGCTGATGTTTTAAGCCGGATCCTCATAATTCCGATCTGAGCTGATGTTTTCTGCTGGATCCTCACAATTCCGATCTGAGCTGATGTTTGTTTTAAGCTGGATTCTCATAATTCCGATCTGAGCTGATGTTTTCTGCTGGATCCTCATAGTTCCGATCTGAGCGGATGTTTTAAGCTGGATCCTCATAATTCCGATCTGAGCTGATGTTTTAAGCTGGATCCTCATAATTCCGATCTGAGCTGATGTTTTAAGCTGGATCATCATAATTCCGATCTGAGCTGATGTATTAAGCTGGATCCTCATAATTCCGATCGTTTGATCCCGATATCATTATTCCACACCCCTTATCAAATATCAATTCATCTATATATCCACAATAAATGAGTTTCTTAGCTCAGAAGCTTTATTTAAGTTTTCAAGGTTTTTGAGAAATGAATTCCTGTTTAGCGTAAGGCGCTCGGCCAATCTAAAATGTATAAAATCTCAGCTCAACACAATTCCTGGAAATATAAAATATGAAATTATATTTCAAATAATATCTTTCCTTAAACAATTAAACATACCAGGGTCACAATATTATGTTTAAATAAATGATAATTGAATTTTCACCACCCATCCCCCCACCTTCCTCAGCTAATTAATGTACACCTCATACGGTCAAAATATAAAAAGAGAAAAATTAAAAAATATGAGTTTTTTAAAGTTTGAAAGTTTTAACACGTGTTTTATTAATGAAAAGTAACAACCTGGCTAAAATAGTAAAACATTTTGTCGTAATGCTTTTTTTAACAATTTATTATTTTTGAATGTTTAATCTTATAAATCAGACAAATTCTGATTTGATTCTTCTCTTGTCATCGTTTCTCTCTTTCCTTTTCTTTTCTCCTTCTGTTGACCTGATTCTGATGATTTTGAAAGAATTTGTCGTAATGCTTACTTAGAGTATTATGTAATTATTTATAAGACTGAAAAAATTTTAACTTTTTTAATAACGACTTTGATCGTTTCGTTATTGATGTTGATCGTTTCGTTACCGAAGTTGATTGTTCGTTACCAATGGTGATCTTTTCGTTACCGATGTTCGTTTCGTTACCGATGTTGATCGTTTCGTTACCGATGTTGATCGTTTCGTCACCGATGTTGATCGTTTCGTCACCGATGTTGATCGTTTCGTTACTGATGTTGATTGTTTCGTTACCGATGTTGATTGTTTCGTTACCGATGTTGATCGCTTCGTTACCGATGTTGATTGTTTCGTTACCAATGTTTATCGTTTTGTTACCGATGTTTATCGTTTCGATACCGAGATTGTTTTGTTACAGATGATAAAAAAACAATGAAAACAATCACAGTTCAAACTTTAAGCTTGGCTGGATAGTTATTTATGAAAGATATTTTTTCGGAGTCTTAAAAATTGAATCTAATCAAGAAGGCTACAGCTTATTCATCAAAATATAGATCAGTTTACAAATATGATTTATTTTAAGCATAGGGTAACCCGCAAAGGATGAGACTTCAGAGAAGACTGTACAGAATTATTCTTTCTGTTTCTGATATTCAGGATTCCCTGCAAATGTGAACTTGTGTCTTTCTTTGCCAAATCATTTAATAAGCCATTAAACCAAGCTTGTTGAACTATTTAAATTTAAAACTCGAGTCTAAAAGTCGTCTTCCTATTTTAGAGTTTTTGGTTATTTCTAACCTTTTTTCCTTTCGCTTTTTCGTATTCAAAAGATTAAGAATAACACTTATTTAGTTAGTTTTAACTATATTATATTTTTTTTAGCGTCAAAGGTTTGTTAGTTTTTTTAAATCCAAAAAGAAAAATGATCGTTTTTTTCCGATCGTTTTTAACAATATTGCTCGATCCCTAAACATGTGAAAAAATCTTTAACATTATAATTTTGTGAATCTTGGTATATACACATATACGGGCTAAACACGGGGTCGGGAGCAATTTTCCTATTAAATAAGAAGATGGTGCAACTTTCATATTCCTGTCGAAACATTTATCATTGTATAGTTGTTAAATCCAATTCTCAATGTTAGGTGAATTTTCATTTTTCTTTTTTCAAAAAAGCTGATATCCTATTTTCTAGTTACCAAAGGCATTTTGCTAAATGTTGTAAATATTGTACATTTATAAAAATGTTTTGGCATAGATAGGATATAATATTTTGTAAACTCCCACAAAAGGTAATTGTACAATGGACAACATGTTGGAAAAAAATAATTTAAGAAGTGCCTAAACACCTTTATCAACAGTATAATACTACAATATTACACACTTACATACATTAGAACTCATTGTGATATATATATATATATATTAAAGGTGTCTTGTCTAATTGTTTTTTTTTCTCATTTTGTGGCGACTAGCTTCACTAAAGTAAGGTTTGTAGCTGGCCCAAGTTAGAAAATTTTGACCATATATATCCATATTTGCTAATGCAATAGACAATAAACTACTCTATAAAAAATAAACTAAACTAATTGACTTTTAAATGAATCTGTATTTTTCGATCTCTCGCTCTAAAATTCTCTATTTCTATATTTGCTGACTAAACTTGAAACAGCCGTTTAAATATAAAACTTTTAAAAGGAAAAACCTATTTTAAAAGTAAGGTAATTCATTGAAATTTTACATTTTGTAGTTATATTCTCCAAACACAGTGAGCAGGTCCTGAGTAAATTTCTATGATATTAAAACTGCATCATCCCGTTGTTTGAGAAAGTGTCTTCAACGTGAAACTATATGTATCTTCAACATGAAACTATATGTGTCTTCAACGTGACATCCCGTTGTTTGAGAAACAACCCATTCTTCTCGTTAAATTGTATAATACTCAGTAACAGTGCAGAGTATGTACAGAAATTCNCTTCAACATGAAACTATATGTGTCTTCAACATGAAACTATATGTGTCTTCAACATGAAACTATATGTGTCTTCAACATGAAACTATATGTGTCTTCAACATGAAACTATATGTGTCTTCAACATGAAACTATATGTGTCTTCAACATGAAACTATATGTGTCTTCAACATGAAACTATATGTGTCTTCAACATGAAACTATATGTGTCTTCAACATGAAACTATATGTGTCTTCAACATGAAACTATATGTGTCTTCAACATGAAACTATATGTGTCTTCAACATGAAACTATATGTGTCTTCAACATGAAACTATATGTGTCTTCAACATGAAACTATATGTGTCTTCAACATGAAACTATATGTGTCTTCAACATGAAACTATATGTGTCTTCAACATGAAACTATATGTGTCTTCAACATGAAACTATATGTGTCTTCAACATGAAACTATATGTGTCTTCAACATGAAACTATATGTGTCTTCAACATGAAACTATATGTGTCTTCAACATGAAACTATATGTGTCTTCAACATGAAACTATATGTGTCTTCAACATGAAACTATATGTGTCTTCAACATGAAACTATATGTGTCTTCAACATGAAACTATATGTGTCTTCAACATGAAACTATATGTGTCTTCAACATGAAACTAAATGTGCTGATCTAAATTTTAAGGAATAAAGAAATTCTCATGAAAAATTTATCTTTTAAAATTTATTTTATGAAAAAATATTTATTTTAAATCTTTCATATTTTGAAGTATTAAAGTTGAAGGTTTTGAGTATTCTAAAAACTGATTTATTATTTCACACCCTTTTCAACTGTGAACTTTCAAAACTTTTTTATTCGTGTTTAATTAAGATGCGTGATAATAATTGTAAACATTGAAAACAACGCCTGTTAAGATCTATGCAAATCCTTACCTTTCATGAAGATTTTGCAACGAGAATATCTTTGCCGTCAAAATAACTGCAATAATTTGGCAAAAGTTTTTTTTCGATAAATTAATCAATCTTGTAAATGATGTATTGCTTTATGAAGAGATCCTTGTCAACTGTACGGATTGATTTTCAATGTTGCGGATTTTCTGATATAAATTGATTATGTTGTAAACTGGAGAGAAAGGAAGGAAGGATCAAGCAGGAAACAGGAGAAAAGAAAGTTGTGGATCATAATTTATATATATGATCGCTATAGCTGGACTAACTTGACTTACATTTTTAACGGAACCCATGGGTACCCGGCCCGAAGGTGACATAGACTATAACGAAAATTTAGAAAATTTTGGAAATTCCACAGCTTGATTTCATACCAAGCGCGGGTAAACGCTCAGTGTGCAAGTAACTAGGACTATGAATTTAAACTTGGGCTTTTCAAAAATGGACTACTTAACTCTCTTTTTGAAATTTACATTACAATATGTTATAAACCAAGTTGTTATTATATATATTAACTAATTAAATATGTTTTAATCTGATTTGAAATTTGTTGTGTTTATGTCAAAAAGTTATTTCAAAATCTAGTTATTCTAACAAAAATATAAATAATTTTTGCATAGGATAAAATCCCACCTTGATCTCTATTAGTTCTCCTCAAATCCAAGAAAAGTTATTTCAGAGGTGTACGTGCACCTTTTGTACTGCAGTGTACTGTCTCAAGGTGGTAATGTAAACACAAGACTTATTTTACAGCCTTACATGAGATCCATCTTTCACATAAAAAATCAATGAAATATTCTGGTCATAAGAAACTTTTATGTGAATTATCAAAATTATCAAAATTTAATGCTTTTAACCTCCAAGGATACTAAACGAACACTGAGGCATCTATTCTTGTTTACAAATTCCGCCCAGGGAGAACTGGTTTCAATATGTACGCAGAGTATACGCAACTGCAATTAACTTTCTTTGCATTATAATCTTGCTTAAAACATTTAATTGAAATATTTGTTATCATTACTGAAGTTAGGTGGAAAAAAATAATCAAAACCGCCAAGAGCTATTTTCCACCTAATTTCTTTATACTTGTAATGTTTCTCAATTTGTAATTGTGAACTCGTTCGTATATACTATATATCAATCTTGCAAGTAAAGTGTGAGAATATGAAGAAAACTAAATAATATAATATTTCATAACAAAAATATTGATATCCACAAAACTGCTTAACACCATTCGTGAAACCCGGGTTTCAAAACTGGTTTTTATAACGATACCCTGTCTTAAGTTTTGGACTCTGGGCGGCATTTGTAAACAAGAATAGAACATGCATCAGTGTTCGTTTAGTATCCGAGGAGGTTAAAAGCATTAAATTTTGATAATTTTGATAATTCACATAATAGTTTCCTATGACCAGAATATTTCATTGATTTTTTATGTGAAAGATGGATCCCATGTCAGGCTTGTGTTTACATTACCGCCCAGAGTACACTGCGGTACAAAAGATGCGTACACCTCTGAAATAACTTTCCTTGCATTACAACCTTTAAAAATGGGGAGAAAAAAAAGGGTGGAGGAGTAAACCAGGCGGGGTATTGTTAGGGTTTGTTGGAAAGAAAGGGGGCAAAACCGCAGGGGTCGGGGAGAGGTGGGAGGATGGTCAAAAGGAGGGAGGTTGTATGGATTGTAAGGCNCCTATATCATAGAAATGTTTGTACGAAGAATGAAAGTGTTCACGGATTAAGGTTTCTATGAAAAAGAAAGGAAGAGTATCATTTAACCTTCTCATCCCACTTTCCCTGCTTTATTAACTAAGTTTACAGGAATGCAAAACTTTAAATGACTCCGCCCTGAAAACTTTAAATATTTGCCAAACATTTAATTTAAGAATAGGATATTGGCATGACATGTGGTTCTATTCACTACTCTTAGTAAAATATTTATTATTCTTATTTTTTTTAAATTCTTTTTTACTTTATGCTTAAATTAAATCTTGTGTTTAAATCAATATGCTTTTACTCTTATCAGTATTTTTTCATTCCTTCTTTCAAATTACTCTTATCAGTATTTTTTCATTCCTTCTTTCAAATTTTGTTATCTAATATTCTATTTATTATTCTTATATTCTTTCAAGAAACACATTCTTTTAAATCTATAAAGGATATCATGCACGAGAACAAAGAAAACTAAATGATTGATGAAAATTTAATTAACTATTTATTTGTTGAATAAATCGTGTGAATGAAATCATTTGGTTTATTTCACCGTAATTCTCTGCAAAGACGATAGTTCCCGCGACATGCAATTAAAACTTACTCACGAAAATAGTTAGTATTTTTTAAAATAGTTAAAACAAGCTGAATTTGGTTTGATATAGACATATTTTATGTTAAACCAGTAAATATGGAATGATTTTCTATATTTTTAACTATCGAGGATTGTTTTCATGATTAAGAGATTATGTTTCATCAAGAATATGTACATGTTTTTAAAGTTTGGTTTAAAATTAAAGGGATAAGTCGCGATAATGTACCTTTACACTAAAAAATTGGTAGAGCAGTGTCACATTTGACATCAATGACGTCATTAACAATTTCTTCAAAATTTCATTTTCCAATTATTTTACTGAGGCCGAATTTAAAGAATTTAAACCGCGTCGCTCAAACTTGAGACGCGGCTCAAATTCTTTAAATTCTCGAGCTCTAGATCATCTATTTGACCCTAACTATATTTTGTTCAATCAATGCAAAGGGGCATTTACGTCTACTAAACAGGCAAATGTAAAATTCAAAGATGGTAGACCTGAACAAGTGTAAGAACGTATCCATTTTATGGATCTTTTCCATAATCAGACTAATCAGCAATTCAGGAAAATAGGAGTAAACTAACATATAAACATACATTTTTTTCTTTTTTTCATGTTCTTTTTTCGGTGGATAACGTGGCAACTCCGTCGTCTGTAGGTTTGAAGATTATTGAATTTTCGAATAAACGGTATTAAATACAAACTAAAAGATTCCATGGACCAAATGTAATGAATTTGAACTGCCTTCCGCGGGTTCAAATTTAAATCACCGATTCAAATCCGTCCTGAATCTTGAACAGTGGTTCAAGTTTGAACCGGCAGTAGGTGGTTTAGCAACGTAGCTCAAATCTTGCCCAGGTTGTACAATGTACAGTACAGACTATTGATGGAAAAAAGGAAGGTACGCCAAAAATGAATCATCTCCTTTTAGATAGATTAAAAAAAAAGAAATTTCAAATGTAAATTTGTCCATGGCCAAACGTGGAAAAATATAAGAAAACAAGAAAACTTTTATTATTATTTAAAGGGTGTTTTCTTCCAGTAGTAGGGGCTGTTGGACCGGATGTTCAGGTAAATATTTCAGTTTAAAGGGAGTGTCTGACTAGACATGGTAGTTGAGCTGAGAATGCAGTAGTGTAGAGCAATGTTTTTCAATTTATTTGAGGCCTATTTTAAATTATTCAATAACGACGACAAAAAATGTAACAAAAAATATACAGTCGTTAAAACGTCTTATAGGTATCTGATTTATCCTAAAAAACGTTCCTACAATACTGCATTCTCAGCTCAATTACCATGTCTAGTCAGACAATCCCTTTAATGAACTGCCTGAATGCATACTTTTTCAAACCTAAATCTCTGTCTAGACCGTCTTTGGATGGATTTTACAATTTAACAGTTTTTAAAAGCCTTTGACACAAAACAGCAGATTTTGCTAGTTTTTAAAAGACATTTTACAGATTTTTTGTGAACACTTTTTCAAACTGAATTTGCACATTTTGTCTTTATGACCCCAGGAGGCCATCTTATGCAGACATAGGGATTAATTTAATACCCTTCAGAGATATCCAGTATTGATCCTTAAAATTGAAAGTGCCCAATTTGGATATCAAGATCAAGCATTCAAGATTAACGATATCCACACATAAGTTCCGGTCTCTGATCAACTTAAGATAAGATAAGATTCCTGTTTAAGGCCAGAGCGAGATTGATAAAAGATCTGCCGGTTGGTATTTTCGCAGGAGAAAAACTACAACCTAAGGTTACTTCATATAAGAAAATATAATAATTCGAAAAACTGAATTTATTTGCAAATAAACTTCTTTTTTCTAGACAGAAGAGAAAACTTTGATAGAAATGAGTTTATCCGTCAGGTAAATTTAATTTTGACAAAAAAAAAATAACTTGAAACAATGATTTTTTTCCGCTAGGTGTCTCTGCCATGTGGAATCATTAAGAGCATCGAGAGCAGAGACACCTGGCTAAAAAACTAATTGGCGTTTAAGTCGAAAAATAATAAATGACTATAGGTTTTAATATCTAAATATTTGTTTGATATTAATACCCTCTTTCATTTTTCGCGAACACTCCCTTTAAAGGGAGTGTCTGGCAGTTGAGCTAAGAATGCAGTATTGTAGAGAAATTTTGCTTAACAAATATGCACCGTAAAAACTTTTTAGGTCTCGCACTTATTTCTTAATTTTTTTTTCTACAATACTGCATTCTCAGCTCAACTACCATGTCTGGCCAGACACTCCCTTTGAAACATATTTTTTACTGTTTTTTAAGATCTGTGAATCTGGGGTTTAGTACAGGAATATTTCAAACAGCAGGATGGATGAAACTTAAATGGGAGGATGAGAGGTATGTATCTTATGGACTTAGGTCAACATAATTTCATTTTTCTATTAACTGAATCTTAATATTTATTCTGTTTTTCTGCAGGTACAGATGGGAGCCTGATAAATATGAAAACATTGAGTCTGTTAATCTCCCGTTCTCCAAGGTAAGCTAGTAAATCTCTTAAAGTTTTCAAATTTTTGTCTACAGTGAGAACCAGAAAACCATAAAATCCGGGGCTGGAGCCGACTTTTAGACTCAAGTTATGACTTTAAATAGTCCAATGAACATTAGACACAGCAATTGTGCAGTGTAAACATCCTCATTTGTTATCACATTTTAGTTTTTTCTTTCAATCATTATTTATCGATTTTTTCAGCAATAACAAAACAAACTAGAATCAATGGCGTATATGCCATTTCTTTCAACATTACAATGGTCGATCACATGACGTCTCTAAATTGTGGCCGTACTGTGGTCGTATGAATTATCTATCTATCAGATAAGAATTTATCGTGAGACATCTGGCGGCCAAACTATTGTCCTCTAAAGGACGACCACTGGTCATACATTATTATGGAGAGAACGGGCTCAGAGCCCAAAACTTAAGACAGGGTTGTGAAAACCAGTTTTAGAACCTGAGTTTCACGAATGGGGTAAAGCAGTTTTGTGAATATCAATATTTTTGTGATTAAATATTATTTATTTAGTTTCTTTATATTCTCCATTTTTTCAAATCTCTTAAATCAAAATTTACACAATGTTAAGACCCCAAAAAGGAAACTCGGGAGTTTCGTTCAACGATACTCTTTTAAATTTCGGACTCTTATGTATCTTTAAAATTGTATTGTGTAAATCGATATTAATGTTGGACATTTATTTTTCAGAAATACTTGAGTTCAAATTACATATAACTTAAAGAGAAAAAAAAGACATCAAGCATTACTTTCATTTCTAGTTTTCACTGTAAAAATCACATGCAAATCATGTTTCACAGAAAGTGTTCAACATTTTGATATAATTTGCTAGTATTGTACATGTAGGATTGGTCTCCTGACGTACTGCTGTACAATGGATTGGAGGATAAATTTATGTACAATAAGGTTAACTTTTAAGGCATGAATTTGTGTACAACGTGTCCTAAAAGCAAAGAAATTAAATGACTACTTTGTTAACGTATTTTTTAAACCTAACTGTTTTAATTCAAGTTGTAACGTACTTTAACCATATTCCATATATCCAGAAACCAGCCTGCTATGAAAATTTGATTGAATTTTTAAAACTGAATTGTTTTTTTAAATGTTGAAACGCCTCTATAGCTCACTAACTTACATAAACCTTTTTGTAACACTAGATATATATCTCTACATGAACATTTTTACTTAGGTTGGAATACTAGAGCATACTGGAGAAATCACTTACATTATCGCTCTTTACACGCAATCATCATGTTCTCCTAACTTTACTGATTTCCCTTGGGGTATCCAGGTATCCAACTATACTGATTTCCCTTGGGGTATTCAGGTATCCAACTATACTGATTCCCCTTGGTGTATCCAGGTATCCAACTATACTGATTTCCCTTGGGGTATTCAGGTATCCAACTATACTGATTCCCCTTGGTGTATCCAGGTATCCAACTATACTGATTTCCCTTGGGGTATCCAGGTATCCAACTATACTGATTTCCCTTGGAATATCCAAAGGTATCCAGCTTTACTGATTTCCCTTGGGGTATCCAGGTATCCAACTATACTGATTCCCCTTGGGGTATCCAGGTATCCAAATATACTGATTCCCCTTGGGGTATTCAGGTATCCAACTATACTGATTTCCCTTAAGGTATCCAGGTATCCAACTATACTGATTTCCCTTGGTGTATCCAGGTATCCAACTATACTGATTTCCCTTGGGGTATTCAGGTATCCAACTATACTGATTTCCCTTGGGGTATCCAGGTATCCAACTATACTGATTTCCCTTGGGGTATTCAGGTATCCAACTATACTGATTTTCCTTGGTGTATTCAGGTATCCAACTATACTGACTATACAATGCATTTCCCTTTTTGAGATATCAAACTATGTATATGCTGATTTCTTTTCAGTAATTTAGATATCTAACTGAAAATTTTGTGTTTATCTTTAAAAACGCCATTTTTTAAAAAATACTATCCATAAAAAACTCTACTCTAGAAATACTGCACTAATGTTAGGGTTTTTACTAGTGAAAGTACAAGCCTATAAATTCCTCACAATTCAGAGCAAATCTGAGCAACTCCAAGCAAATCTGCACAATTCTGCGCAACGGAATTTTGATTAGAAATCCCAATTTAATCGTTAAATTACTATTTGTTTGTTCAATCTAATTTTTTGTTTACTGTTTAGGTTTGCAGTTTGTTCAATCTAATTGTGAAATTAGGTTTGCAGTTTGTTCAATCTAATTGTTTGTTTAGGTTTGCAGTTTGTTCAATCTAATTGTGTGTTTAGGTTTGCAGTTTGAAGTTTGGTTCTTGGATAAATACTCAGTACAGAGTTGAATATCGTCTTCCATCAAATTCGTCAGTTGGTAAAAGTTTCAATATATAAATGACAACTTAAAAGATGTCGTCTTCCATTGCTACTCAAATATTCGGTCTCTTAGATTTTTCAAATTGTTCAAAAAATCTGATCATCTTATGTTTTTCCTTGATCAAATATTGGTTAATTCTCATTGAGAACTAAATCTAATGTGTACATCCAAGAAAAATAAATGCAAGAGCAAAATTTACTATTTAGTAAGATTTAGAGATAGAGTTTTCAAAACATCTATAAATTATCTAATAATCATGATAAACAGATTTGGTAATTCCTTTAGTAAATACTTTTGTTGGGTTTTTACTAATTTCTACAAAACCGACTTCTTCTAGAACCATCAGTAGTGCTTCTAGAACCATCAGTAGTAGTGCTTCTAGAACCATGAGTAGTAGTGCTACTAAAACCTGAGAAACTAATGCCAGAAGCATCAGAAGCTTCAGGATTGCAACCAACAGCTTGATGACTACTACCAGAAGTTTTAGGACTGCTACCAGACGCATTAGAACGGCTGCCAGAAGCTTCAAGACTTTTACAATGCTTCAGGACTGCTACCAGAAGCTTTAGGACAGTTACTAGAAGCTTCAGGACTGCTTCTCATAGCTTCATGACGGCTACTTAAGTTTCAATTCACTTTTTTTGGAGCTTATCTCATTATCAAAATTTCAGACAGAACCTGGGAAACAAGGCAGTTCACCCAGGACTTTCAAACGTTGATACAACATGCAGTATTTAGGAAAATACATAAAATTTGAGGACCAAATTTTTTACCATTCAAAAGTTATCACAAAAAAACAAACTCTATCTCAATATTATTTGGCCAATTTCTTAGATGCTCTATCATAGGTAGAACCATAGTCACACTATGGTTACGCTTTACCAGAGCTGTGTAGATAGATAGATACGACCTATAGTTGTACCTATACTTCATACTTCATTTGGTTTGCCTGTTGCCCTCTCAGATGGACATACAAGTTTTATCCACAATATTTTTTTTTGCTAATCCGGTTTTTCTTGGTAGTGAACTTGGATTTTCAGAAGACATCCAGAAATTTTGTTGGTTTTCTAAACCTTGAGGCCTTAACTTCAAAAATTAAAATCTTAGCTTATGAGCTAAAAACTCGGTTAATTTCGCAAGCAATCTTACCTCTTTAGTTTGGAGCTGTAGGTCGTTGAATGAAGTAAACCTTAGTTTTATTATAACTATGCACATCAAATGTATTATTATGGGAATGCACTTTACTCTGTGTAAATGTGATGACTATTTCAAAAATCTATTTTTTTCTTCTTTAAAATTCGATTTTTTTAAAAATCCACGGGCAACGCCGGGCACTTCTGCTAGTTATTTTATATTTGTTCAGGATTGAATGAGTTTGAATCTGGAGTAGGTTGGAAGATAGTAAACACCTCTAGCAGGCTTCAATCAGTTCAACATAGTTAAGTTCAGGCAAACCATTCACAACTAAATAATTGTTAACATCTATAGTATAAAGTAGGCTTCAATATGTTTAACATCTATAGTAAGCTTCAACTTGTTTAACATCTATAGTAAGCTTCAATATGTTTAACATCTAATGTAGGCTTTAATATGTTTAACATCTATAGTAAGCTTCAACTTGTTTAACATCTATAGTAAGCTTCAATATGTTTAACATCCATAGTGGGCTTCAATATGTTTAACATCTATAGTAGGATTCAATATGTTTAACACCTATAGTAAGCTTCAATATGTTTAACATCTATAGTAGGCTTCAATTTGTTTAACATCTATAGTAAGCTTCAATTTGTTTAACATCTATAGTAGGATTCAATATGTTTAACATCTATAGTAGGCTTCAATTTGTTTAACATCTATAGTAGGCTTCAACTTGTTTAACACCTATAGTAAGCTTCAACTTGTTTAACATCTATAGTAGGCTTCAATTTGTTTAACATCTATAGTAAGCTTCAATATGTTTAACATCTATAGTAAGCTTCAATATGTTTAACATCTATAGTAAGCTTCAATTTGTTTAACATCTATAGTAGGCTTCAACTTGTTTAACACCTATAGTAGGCTTTGTTTAACATCTATAGTAAGCTTCAATTTGTTTAACATCTATAGTAGGCTTCAATTTGTTCAACATCTATAGTAAGCTTCAACTTGTTTAACATCTATACTAGGCTTCAATTTGTTTAACATCTATAGTAGGCTTCAATTTGTTTAACATCTATAGTAAGCTTCAATTTGATTAAAATCTATAGTAGGATTCAATATGTTTAACACCTAGTAGTTCAGGCAAACAACTAAAACATTTTTCGACTATATATTTTAAAAGCTGAAGTGAATTTGGAAAAAAAATGTTGACTTAAAAGACTCAAAAAGAGTCGAAATTAATGACTAAAGACTAAAAAACTAGATTTTTAACTTTTCACACATTATAGTTTATTAAGACAGATATTTTTCCTGTTTTGCACTAAGGTTTCTTTCTCTTAAGCATGCTATTGAGAAGCTATTCTGAAAATAGGAACAAAAAAATTTTAAAAAAATAATTTTATTTTTGAAAAAATAAAAATCGATTTTTTTTTAGCCTATGTTACCTCTAGGGAAGTCAGGAGTTTCCTCAAAATATTTTAGCCGTTTAGCCATTGTAAAATTACAGTGTTTACTTGTCTGTTTAACTCTGTCTTATTGTTTTTGTGACGTTTGTTTAGGAGCCTGCCCATCTAGTCGTCTTCGATTTTGCATTTCTCAGAGAAACCTACTTTGACGGGGCATTCGGAGTTCTTCAGAAGGTTTGTTTTGAAATAATATTTCATCCTAGAGATTCAAGTCTATTAATATTAATATATTGATGATCTTAAACAATATTTTGCAGATGAAAACTTTAAAAAATGATATTTTAGGAGAACAGAACTTCAGAGCTGTAGCTTTTTAAATGAATTAACTGTGTTGAGACAATTCTGAGGATTTTCTAGTTGGGCTTTCTTGTAAATATTACTGTTTAGTTAAAAATAAATTATATTAAATAATAAATAATTGAACAAATTGTACAATTGAACAAAATTTGTAATAATCTGTTTTTGTAACATTGACAAAATAAACTAAAATGGGAAATGAAAGACCACTTGAATATCGTCTTTGATTTCCGATAATTAATAAATGACGTCATAAAGGGCATCATAAAATAACGAAAAGTCTAACAAACTTTCCAAAGTTTGGTTTACCATCTTTGTAAATTGTATCTTTAAAATTGAAGGAGATATTGAACATTTGTAAGGCTTTGTTGGTTTTTAATAAACTGGAATCTGGACAAATCTCTTACTATCTCCGTCAAAAGAATGGTAGACCACATTTTGGAAATCCCAAGGCTTGTAGTTTTCGGTGTTAAATGTATTCACTTGTACTACAAAATCATGTTTACGAACTAATCCCTCATGGAACAAAGATGATACAGGGTGTCCCACATCATATCAGATCGTTTAAAGCTTTTAATTGCAATTTTCTAGACAAATCATAAGATTTAAAAAGATTGAATATTTGCATTTATAAAATATCAGGTTTTTCGAGTATTATGTGCGTGTTTTGGCTTTAAAGCTTGGTGATAATCCGATATGATATGAGACGCTCGAGTATAGAATTCGTAATTTAATTCCCATGTTTATTGGGACACCCTTATTAAATTAATAGATTTGTATCAAAAACATGCTTAATTACTTGAAGGACATGTTCTTTGCTCTTTTGATCGATTTTTTCGAAGAGAAAAACAAACTAAACGCAATTCGAAATGTAAAAACTGTATTTTATGATTATTAATTCAAGTCTTGTTTTAATAAAAACATCTCGAGAAGACGACATGTTCTTTTTTAAATTGTTTTAAATTGTTTTGTGGGCCACACTTTTTTTTAAAAAATAGCTTTGTTGTCAACTTAAAATCTACAATTATAAAACTTTATTAAAATCTCATTTAATTTAATAAATTAGGATTTAAAACTGATTGCTTAATCAAGACTATAATCAATTAGATTTTCTGTACTGTCGCTACATCCCAGTCCTAAAATATGAATGTTCTTGTCATACAAAAAAAATTCGTGTATTTTCGTAATTTAATGATCAATATCTTTTAAAAACATTTATTCCCGTTTCGAGGTTTTTTTATGAAGACGACATTTTCATATTTTCCAGGAAATATCGAAAATCCAGCTCCAGCAATATATTATTTTAAAAAACAAAATAAAAAATATCAATTATATGCGAATGCGTCTAAAAATAATCGATGACTATTGTTTGTAATATTTGAATGATTTGTTCGGAATTAAATTTATTATTTTACGATTCAAGTTGAATGTTGCAACTTTCAAAATTTGTATGGAGGCTACGTTCTTCAGCATGAGTCGTTTTTAACAATTTTCTCCTTATAGACGCAACAGAAATAAGTTAGATTAGTAGCGATCAAAAAGCGCTTATTTTTTGCCGTAAGCCTATACCCCCTCCCCTTTAATTTTTCGCAAACACTCCCTTTAAATGTTTCGTAGGAAAAGTGTTCACAAATTCAAATCAAAGTTTTTGATTTACAAATAAATAAATTTGAAAAATGATTATAATTGATATTTTTTTGTACCTGGTACATATGCTCCGTTGATGAAATTTCTTCTTAAAAATCCACTTTGAGAGGAGGTCGAACTTTGTCGTCGCTCAAATGTTTCAGTTTCCTGAAGAATTACATAAGTTCCGTGGATTATTTAAAAAATACTAAAAAAAATACTAGGCTTTACGAGCGCTTCGTGCCCATCTCCCATTTTAAGATATAAAAAAAACAACAAACAAATGTTTGCAGATTTCAAAATTTTATGAAAATTAATTTTGTTGAGTCAAATTTTTGAAATTTTAAGCATCTATAAACCTTCCCTGGGCCTTGGGGGTTATGTGAGTTTTAGGGCCCGACCAGTTCAGCAGTTTTTAAATTTATTGAATTAAAAAATACCCGGCTGGACAAGACGAATGTCACAGCCTGCCATGGAATCGAATTTTCACATAAAAAATCAATGAAATATTGTGGTCATAGGAAACTATTATGTGAATTATCAAAATGTTAAAAATTAAATGCTTTCTCCTCCTTGGATACAAGAGGAATACTGATGCATCTATTCTAATGTCAAATCTATAAGTAATTCAAAAATTATGAAAAACCTTTGACATTATTCTGTCAACTAACAGTTAATTGTAATCGGCGTACATATCAAGACATCACTAACTTTCACAGCTTTACTTTCTTAAAAGCTGAAATACACAGTAGACACACGAAAAGTAGCTCATGAGAGCTCAGTATTAGAAGTTTTATATATCCTGATGAATAACTTATTTTTTGCGATATTTTCGCGTTTTTCGAGAAATTTTCACATTTCCTATTTTGCGAATATATCGAATATTTCACGAAATAGATAAAAGCAAAATTTTGAGAAAAGAACGAAAATTTCGCGAAACGATTTACCCTTTTCGCTTGAAACCCTAGGTCTACCTAATGTACTTGATGTGCCTCATGTACTGTTTGGTTTTCAAATGAAAGGGATGGATGGAATGTGTTTAATTAAGGTCTACCCTTGTACTTGAGTTCTGTACCTGTTGTACCTCATGTACCGCCTGGTCTTCAGTTGGAAGAGATGGTATGTGTTTAAGATCTACCATTGTACTTGAGTTCTGTAATTCCTTTGTCATCAACTTCCTAATTCATAATTATATACAATAATTAACTAGTTATACCCTGCTCGTTAGCAATTTTGAGTCATTATCTGAACTTTCTATCTGGTGGTAGAACTGTGAGCCAACTAGGGATGTTAACGTTTTCATTTTTCAGAAAAACGATCGTTTCGTTATGAAAACGACGACGAAAAATCGAAAACGAAACGATCATTTTTAAAAACGATCGTTTTTTTAAAAAAGTTCGTTTTTCAAAAATGGTCGTTTTCAAAACGATCGTTTTTATAAAATTCGTCGTTTCATTAACAATCGTTAACGACGACCCTTCGTTAACAATCGTTAACGACAACCCTTCGTTTTCTAAAAGTTCAAAACGAGTGGGTCGTTTTTAAAAACGATTGTTTTTTCCGAAAACGAAACGATCGTTTTTGAAAACGATCGTTTACAAAAACGATTAACAACCTTAGAGCCAACAGACTATTATGAAAATCGTCAATCGACACGTCTTATACTCTGTCGTCTACAGGGAGACCCACACAAGATGAGACTGTATACAATGTCTACTGTCTGTTTCCTAATGTTCATAATTCCGTGCAGCTGCTGTTAAATTGTTTCTTTCTGTGCCAAGTCAGAAAATATGCCATTAAAAAATTAATATTAAGGTATAAGTTCCAATTTGACCTTGAAATTAAGAGTTTCAGGTCGTCTTTATACCGTCTCATTCTTTGTGGGTAACCCTAGATGTAACTGTGAGCGTTAAAAGATTTCTATATTTGTATCCTTATCTTGTTCCTGGAATCATTTAAAGCAAACCTTTGCAATTCTTTGTTGTGTTCTGCAGAGAATGCCATAGCTTCCATTATCAACCCTAAACATCACTTTGGAAACTTTAAAGAAGTTTTTGTGGAACGTTGTTTTTACATATTCACCCCTAGGCTTTTATGGCACGAAATAAGTTTCTATAATTTACAACAACAAAATTAGTTCATGAATTTTCTAGCACTTTACGGCCTTTTCTCAAAGAAACAAAAATAGTTTGAATTCATCTGATTTATCTAACCTGCGATGTCTGGTCTTTGACTGATTTTTATCTGGCAAAATCAGCTTGAAAACAATAATATGAATCTAGTTATATCACGGACCGATTCACATCAAAATCAGCTTGAAAACAATAATATGAATCTAGTTATATCACGGACAGGTTCACATCAAAATCAGCTTGAAAACAATAATATGAATCTAGTTATATCACGGACCGTTTCACATCAAAATCCAGATTTTTCAACTGTGTTTTCTAGTGTAGAAGTGTCAATTACGCATTTTTTCTGCACAAACAATGTAAGAAATTGTCACACGTAAACACTGCAGGCTAAAAAAAACAATTGCATTACACGTCCCATTGGTGTACATTTTAATATCCGAGCTGGGACAACCATTGCAGTCCTACTTTGGACTCTACCGCCAAATTACAATTACTAAAGCGGCAGAGCTAGGAGTGTGATTAAGATGATAAAGGTTTAAAGGGTATAAGTCGTTTTTAACAATATTCTCCATACAGACGCAACAGATAGAAGTATGATTAATAGCAATCAAAAACGATTATTTTTCGCCGTAAGTCTATAACCCCTTTAATTTTTCGCGGACACTCCCTTTAAACATTCCACTTTTTAATGAAAAGTCACTTTACAAGAAACGGGGAACCGTTAAAAGTTAATAAACCATCTTAAACGGTACATTACATTGATAGGCCCTAAAAATTTAATTTTAATTAGTTTGAATTATATAAAAAATTGATTTATAATTTTGTTAACATTGTTTTCAAGTTGAAAACCTGGCAGCAGTAAAACATGACGAACAAGGCGACCAGAGAGAAGATGAAGCAGAGATGGATTAAATAGGAGTTCTCATAATATCTGTGCTTAATATAATTACTATGTGTTTATGACGAGCAATATCTGTGTTCAACATAATTACTATGTGGTTATAACAAACTTGTCTGTTCTTAAAGATTAGGGTTTTCTAAATTTTCGTTCAAACTCTTTCGCGAAAACTTCGTTCAGCTAACGAAAATGTGAACAAAAACAAAAATTTTCGTTAAAAGTTTCTCGCGATATTTGTTCGAAAATTTCACAAAATATGTTAGAAATTTTCGCGAAATTCTTTCGAAACTTATGCGAAATTCGCAAAATTCGTTCGAAATTTTCGACTTTTCTGCAAATCTTTTTTCATTCGCAAAAATACAATCTTCTTGATGTGACATGAAAAATTTCAATTTTTATTGAACGAAAATGAGGTAGAAAATGTCGTCAAAAATACATCGAAATTAGCGAAAATTTTGAACGAAAATGAACGAATTTTGTTTGTTCATTTTCGCGAGTTTCGTTCAACGAAAATTTCGATGAAAACCCTAATGAAGTCATATCCTAAATATGCATTAGTTAGCTAGAGGTATTAGGTTCGGCTGAAATTTGGCTCGAACTGCATAATTTACAACCAAAAAAAATCATAACAAATTCTAACACGATTTGATTAAAACGGAAAATGATAGGTTTGAATAAAGTTTCCGAAATTGAAGCGGATAATAAAAACAATAAATTGAAAGGGTTCCATCTAAATCTCAGTTTGCTCGCAAATTAAGATGGAAAAGGAAAAAAAAATAGACAATATAAAGCAAACCAACCAAACTCAGCGTGATAATTTCATATTTATTATACAAGTATACAACAGCAACATAAAGTCGGCACAATTCTAGAAAGGAATTAGAAATGAGCCCTTGCCACAAATTAAAATTTTATAATCCCTATATCTATATATCCCTATATCTGTACAACAAGATTGTGTAAACAATTGATATCTAAAAGTATATTCTTCGATCTAACAGAATTCGTATTTTGAAATATTTAATGTCTCTGACATTGAATTGCAAAGATTTGGATATTAGAAAATCAGATTTTGTGGCAAAAGAAAACTCGATTCTTTGAACATTTAATAACGTGGATAGTATGTATTAAAGTTCTGGGGTGATTTAATTTACGTTTTCTATTCTTCTATCAACTGATTTGTTTTAGGAAAGGAAGAAGAAAATTGTGAATTTTTAGTACAATATATTTAGACATGCTGCTAAATAATTGTCTGCTAGAAAGAACTGCAGAAAACAATCAGTCAATATATTTTACAAACAAATTATTAATGTTAATGGGACTGTAAGCATAATTTCATGTAACCTTCCATGTACAGAGAGGCATGTACGGTTCACAACACAGTACCCTTTAAACCGGACAACAACGATTGATACAGATTGAGTGCAGGCAGGTTACAGTGTACATTGTACAGTGTAAAGTGTACACTCCTTATTAGTGTACACTCGCGCGGCTTCTTGTTTGTCATTTAATTTCCCGCTATAAATAAGAATATCTACGAAATCCTTGTTCAAACAGAGGTTTAATGGGTATCATTGTAAATTGTACATGCTTCTTTATAAATGGAAGGTCATTTGAAATAACGCTTACAGTCCCTTTAAGCATCTTCTCGATTCAAATATAATTTCGGGCGGAAATAAAAAATAGTAATTGTTGCCTTATATGCCAAGAAACGGAACTTAGTGTAATGTTTGTAATAATATCTTGGTCCAGCATAATTCTAATTATCCTAAACAATGCGAATTCAGTTAATATTGAAAGTATTGGGAAAAATAACAGTTTTGTAAAAATAAATAAAACTGTTCAAATTTGTTTTAAGGTTTTCTTATTGTTTACGAACATTATAAGGTTTTCTTTACTGTACTGAACCACTTCATATTAAAGTAAATTGTACGTCAGATTCAAATCTTAACTTTTTTATTCAAGAGCTATTGAGAAGTACAAAAGAGGGTTTTAAATTATTATTATGTGACCGGATGAATTTATATACAATGTACATAAAATCAAAACTAGAGGAGCAACGAGGTAACCAGGTCATACCAGTAATGTTGCATATAATTTTCCTTTCGTCTGGTTTCCAGTGAAGGCAGCTGAGAAAAAAGTTTAAAAGTTGTTTAAGGATTTGTTATTGTTTGCGCAAAAGGTGAGGTTTGTTTACTAGTAATATATAAAGTTGGTTAACAGACAGAAACTGCGTACATCTTCTAATTGCGCAAAAGGTGAGGTTTGTTTACTAGTTATATAGTTATATAAAGTTGGCTAACAGACAGAAACTGCGTATAACATCTTCTAATTGGCCCAACCTTTAATCGGTTGAAAGGCTGAATAGAACTGTCTAAACGTATTCCCGCATCAGGTAGTTTGAAATCAATAAAATCCTCATTAAATATAAATCTAGAAATCTTTAAATCACGTTATATCTATCCACTGGGCAAAACAGAAACTGAAATCAAATGCCATCCTCTATTATACTCATCGCCATGCTTAAAGGGACTGTAAAGGAAAAATGAAAGGGGGTGTATGCTGAAACCTGCGAATCTCAGGTGTCGAACGATACTTAGAAGACATCTATCTGATGTTCCTGTCTCGAGAAATTGATATAAAACTGTGTCAAATTTATACAAAAATTCATATATATGCAATTTTGTATAAAAGTTGTGGGTTTAAACAGATCAATTTCAGCAAATACGAAACCAATCTGAAAAAACTATATCCTACAGAAACCTAGAACCTCAGGTTTGCCCCTGTTATAATTATTTTATTTTTATTTTGCATTTTTAATAAATATAATTGATAATATTGATAATTTTAATCCGTATAGTCCGTATTACGTCACAAGTACTTTAGCCAATGGCAGTGCAGAATACTGGTCACATGATTTCCGTCTGTACCACGTGACAACAACGCTGCACTGTCATTGGTTGAAGTTATTGTGACGTAATATGGACTATACGGGCTATATGTAATAATATTATCAATTATATCTATTAAAAGTGCCAAATTAAAATTAGAAAATTATATATTTGAAAACTTGAGATTCTCAGGCTCCTGTGGGATATTATCGTTTACAAAAATTGCATATATATATGAATTTTCGTATAAATTTGACAAAGTTTTATATCAATTTCTCGAGGCAGGAACATCAGAAAGATTGCTTACATGTCTCAATCACTTTCATCATATATACCCCCTTTCATTTTTCCTTTACAGTCTCTTTAACTGTGGAATAGTAATATTTAATTGTAAAGGTTCCCCAAAACCAAAAAAATTTAAATAATTTGCAAGCTTAAAATATCCGGACATCCCTATAAATCCCTATTCCCTATAGTTTCTATTTCCGAGTTCCATGAAAATCTTCGTAAAAATGTTTTTAAGAATACAATATTACATACAGTAATAACCAGAGAACCCTGGAATAGGAAGACGACTTTTAGTCTGAAATTTTGACTTTATATAGGCCAGTACATTTTTTAGCTTGAACAGACCCATTTTACTTAATTAGAAATTAATAAGTGTCTATTAAAACTATTTGCTTTGTAACAACATAAAATACACTTAAAAGTATTGCTACAAAGTCATCTTTCTATTTCGAAGGTTTCTAGTTATCACTGTATTACGAACCAAATCACGTAAAATTCAAGTAAAATTAGGGTATTTTCAATCATATATATCTATAGTGTATATCAGTTTTTGATATATAAATATGCAGTCAAAACAATAGCTATACAACTATAACTAGAGGTGCTCGCGAGGTCGAAAAACTGGAAATTTCGCAAAACTTTGACATTTTTGCTTGCTTTTATTTTGAGTGAAATATTAGAAAAGTAAATTCTACATATTTATTTAATAGTTACATATATCCATACAAAGTAACCCAGAAAGGATGAGACTGTAAAGACGACCCAAAACTCTAGAAATATGACGATTTGAAGCTTGATTGAGTATTTTGATGGTTTACAAACATGATTAAACACAGAAATCAGCCAGTTTTGGCTAACAAGAAACCCTGAATGCAAAAAAACGGACTAAACGAAATCATTACAATTGTCTCTGAAGTTTCCTCCTTTCTGTGTAACCCTGGATATATAGTAGGATATTTAAGTACGAAGATCAAAGACGACATTTAAACGCTCTTCGAGGTCTCTAAATAAATTAAGAAGTGTGTCGGTGAGCACCGTGATTTTCTAATATCATATAGAGGAACAGAAACGTGAGAAGAAAGTGAGATTTTATTTTAAAATTCACCGTAGTAAAAAGTTAACAGATGCCAGTTTTGAAATATATTTTAATTCTGTAAAAAAAAAATCACGTTTCTTTTAATATTTGGATAAAATCAAGAGAACAGTTTAAAAACAGGTTATATTTAAGTAATTTGCGTATTTAGGAAAAGAATTTTAAATAATATTTTTAAAAACAACTATTTTAAAACATGCTTTGTATTAAGGCTGGATAAAAATGGCAGACGAGAAAATGCGCAGGTTATAAAATACAAATTTACAATCAGGTAGATACAGGGTGTCCCACTAGACATGACAGTTGGTGAATACAGGGTGTCTCACGAGACATGACAGTTGGTGAATAGTTTTTAATGTCTTTTTCCAATACACTGTATTAGTTATTTGAGACTTTTTGCAGTTTATTTCGTTAAACAAATCTTTTTACTCAAATATGAATTTTTTTGAAATTAAATTTACTCAAATATTACTGCTATTTAGTATTTCTTTTCATCATCTTTGGTATCAAACAGCTTAACAAATTATGTTAGAAGACATTTTAAACTTTTAACCAACTGTCATGTTTCGTGGGACACTCTGTATTCTATTAAATGAGAATAAAACTGAAAAAAAATTTGTGAATTTCGAATTGCCAATTAAGTTTGTAAAGTGGTGAAAATGAAATAAATAAACCTTGAATTGCTTGCACATACCACTTAAACATTGTACGAGCTGAACCATAGATTTAATCCGATTTAATCAATATTAGATCAATACCATAACAAATATTAGATCATAAGCTGTTTCAGGATGTAAGACTGGTCTGATGTCTGTACTGGTCTGATGTCTGTACTGGTCTGATGTCTGTACTGGTCTCATGTCTGTACTGGTCTCATGTCTGTACTGGTCTCATGTCTGTACTGGTCTCATGTCTGTACTGGTCTCATGTCTGTACTGGTCTATTGTCTGTACTGTTCTGATGTCTGTACTGGTCTAACGTCTGTACTGGTCCGACGTTTGTACCATTGTAAATCTTATAAAGGTGTACCACTACCATCTGACGTTTGTACTGGTACTATTTCGTTGTGCTACATTTTTGCGCAAAAAAATAGCACTGTGCGCAATCATTTGCCGAGCACTGCGGCTAGGATGGTCTATGGGGCCGAGCACTGCGACTAGAACTGGCTGGGGGCTGAGCGCTGTGGGTAGGACAGACATGGGAAGTTGCCGCTTGGAAAATTGCACATTTGGGAATTTACCGCGTGGGAAAATACACTCGGGAATTTGCCCTGCAATAGGAAAATGCCTTTGTTGCAGGTGAAATGAGTTGCTTGTTTTGCTGCTGGTCATCTGGGAGGAAGGATAGAGAGAAGGGAGGGTTACCTCTTCCCAGGATAGTTATCACATTTGCAGATGATACAGGTATAATACCATTTAGTCTCCTACATTCCGAATGCCGATGTCGAACATCAAAAGTCCAGAATTAAATACCCGACATCTTCGCCATCGGAACTGTGAGTCGGTTTAATTGTTTCCTGGGTATACAGTTACTGTCATCTAACTCGACTCAAAACACTTCAATACATAACCTGAAGGTTAATAGAGTATTGTACTAAAAAAACTCCTTATTGTGTAGATTTTGATTTATGAATTGGAGAAAAATATGGCTAAGATATTAAGGAAAATGGTGAAATAATATTAGCTACAAAACTGCTTAACACCTCATACATAAAACCAGTTTTCCGATACTGGGTTTTATAGACATTTTAGGTCAGTAAAACATGAAAACTTGTAATTTATTGGCAGCTGGCCTTTTATAGAATTAACCATGTCAATACTTGCATCGTCTAATGTCAAACAATTCTGAACCTTCTGTATACAGTTCTAAAGTACGCACAATTAAATACTTTTATAGAAGTAAAGTCTTCAAAACCGGGTTTACAACTTTTTCTGTTTATAAATTTTTCACATCATAAAACTTTTATAAAGAGTTTAACCTTCAAGTTATGACTTAACAGGAAAAGTTAAAAATTGTGTTTTAAGATTTGCAATAAAATGTTTTTACAGTTTATCATTCCCGAAAACAAAATTTCCGAGGAATGCAAAATTTTCAAAGTTTTAATATTTTCAAAAATTTTCAATACCAATTAAGATTTACACTTTTTCTGAACACACCATGTCTTCTCTGTTTATTTTAATTAGACGCATTTGTTTGTAAACGGAAATCAGCTCAAAACAACAATATAGAAAATAATCAAAAATTCTAAAATAAACAAGATTTTTACGTTTAGACAATTAAAAAAAAAACAAAGTTTGCTTCAAGAATAATGAAAGATTGAAGTTTGATGTTTGGCTTGTTATAAAAAGTATTTTCAGAATAAACATCAGACAAAAATTTTCTCTGAAAACCTGCAACTGCTCAAAGCTTTTTGCTAGGTCTGAAGGGAATGCATACAAAGTTATACTTGAGTAAAATATAAAATGAAACGAAAAGTAAAAATGCAAATGGTTTATCGAAAGTTTAGATCAGTAAAATACCTTTATTTATCAACACTGCTGTAAATTAAAAATAAAAGATACAAGAAAGTTTGATGTGTGAATTTAAAATTTTAAAAGTAAAAATGAAAACAAATTTACAGTGACTAAGTGAGCCCTATAAAAATATGGAATATGAAAACAGACTCCGGTTAGGATGAACAAGGAACACAGCAACATGTGCACTGTACAGTGCAAGGAGATCTTGAATAGAAGGAGGGGGCGATAGGGTTTCCGTATACTTTTCTGTAACGTTTTTGGACTGCTAAAGAACTAGTTTTTGCGTAGCAACAATAATAAAGATTGTAAACAATAACACAAATGATAAACAGACAACTAGGGGGGGGGGGGGGCAGGATAACCTTGAATTTGATTGAAAATGTCTCTGTAATAAGGTCCTTTTCGTATATAACTAAAATCCTTAACTTTTTAAATCTTTTTAAACAAGATAATACTACTTTCACAGTTTACTAATTCATGTTTGCTTACATTAGATCGGCTGCCTTTGTTATTGTTGTTATGCAAAAACTAGTTCTTCAGCAGTCCAAAAATGTCACAGCAAAGTTTACGGAAACCCTATCGCCCCCTCCTTTTATTAAATATCTCCTTGGTACAGTGTATACCGGCCCATTTAACGAATCAAATAGATTATATTACAATAGATGTCAACGTAAAATGTGTACACTCTCAAGTCTCAGAACAGCTGTATTCTGACGTCACAAGTGTCAATTCAGTTTTTGTGTTCGACAAAATTATTAATAATAGTGATAATTTTAGAATAAAGTACTTATCTGACAGTGAAATAAGTGTAATTTTATGTGTTCTTTAGTTTCTGTCTTTGCACTTTTTTATTAAATCTTGGAAAACTTATGTAAACAAATTTCGTTTTCCTTGTTATATTTGACACTTGTGACTTTGTGTACGATTGGTCCAATCCTCTGTTGCCACTTGCCACCTATTGTAATTGATAATCTATTTGAACGCAATAAGTTGATATGTAAGCTACTGGCACTGGTAAAACGATTTACAACAATAAATACAAGAATGTCGTCTTCCTATTCATCAGTTGTATGTGTCTCACTGATAAAATGTCAATAAAATATCTGCAATACTTGAATAGAAATATCAGGATATCAAAAATGTGAATTTGTTAAAAAATATTTTGTTTTTAGAACTTTGTTTATATTAATGAAAGTTTTCTCTTTCATGTTTTTAAAGTATCTTATCTTTCTCCACTCTAGTCTATCCTCCATCATAAATACCCACTGAGAATTTCAAACAAATTTTATAATATTATTCAAAACATTTTAATAATCAAACTTATATATTTTATATTGAAAATATGATTTGCATAAAGTACAGACCCCCCCTCCTTCCAAAAAAAAGAATCACCAAAAAATACTTTAAACTTGTTTAGGCGTTAAAACTGTCTTCGATTCTTTAATACAAGGATCTTTAGATCGGAACTTTAGTGTGGATATCGGTAATCTTAAACGCTTGATCTCGAAGGCCAATGGCCAATGGCCGATGGCCAATGCCTTTTAAATTAAAAGATCAATGCTTGGTTAGTAAGTTCTCCCTGCATTCCCGGATATCAATGAGAAATTAAATTAACTCGTAGATCTCCATAAGATGGAGATCAAAACTTAATTCCGAGCATTCGTATTTTCGTATTTTTTTATTCTCCTGATAGATATTCTTAGTTCTTAAAATGAGTGTTTTGGGTTTAAATGTTTCCGGTGACTTGGCAAGAATTGACATAAAAAAATCTGTGAACACATTCTAGTCAGTGACCTTCCAATAAGAGGCATGTCCGATTCACGGTGGTAACCTTAGTCCGGTAAACGATAAGAAGATACCATCATTTGTATAGCTAAATTTAAAAAAAGTATCATTGAACGGAACCTTCGAGTTTCCTTTTTGGGTTCTTAACATTTGATTAGATTTTGATTTAAGAGATTCAAAAAAAGTGGAGAATATGAAGAAACTAAACAAAATATATTGATATCCACAAAACTGCCTAAACCCATCCGTGAAACCCGGGTTCCAAAACTGGTTTTCACAAAGATACAAACTGTCTTAAGTTTTGGGAACGGGAGACTCAAGACTAGAGTGTACAATTTACACTCCATGCTATTGCTAGTGTACACTCGTGCGGTCTCTTGGTACTTAATTTCCTGCTACATAAATAAGAATTTCTACGTAATACTTGATCAAACAAAGGTCTAGCGGGTATCGATGTAAATCTGACATGCCACTCTTTTAAATGGGAGGCCTAGATAAAATAAAAGGTTACTGGAAATAACGCTTACAGTCCCTTTAATAATAGAGTTTTCAGGGGTTTTGAAGGAGGAAGAGAAACCAGTCACCAATATTTCTGGAAATGAGACTCTGGACGAGATAAAAAGGAAAACCAGAGAAAAAGATGAATTAAAGGGAAAGTTTGTGGAAAAAGATGATTTAAAGGGAAAGTCCGGAGAAAATTTTGGAGAGCGTGATGAATTATCTCGAGCGCACCAGGTGATGTGAAAATTTGTAAAAAAAAAAATTCTCGTTATTTCTCTTTTTTATTAATTGATAATTAATAGCTATCTTTTCTTGGCCGGTTGTTTAAAAAATTTCATTGCTCTAGAAATCCACAAAGTCACCAATATACATCGCTAATGACACTCTGTCTGTAAATGAAGTGTGTGAATAACAAAAAAATTCCTGACATTCCATTTAACAATATTAATCAGATGAGGATAGCAATCAAGGAGGCCCGAGGTGGAGGATCCAATCAAACAGGTTTAAACTACTTTTTTCACAAAATGTAAAAAAAATATTTAGGTAGAATCATCTAACCTAAATACTGGTATTAATTTGATTTTAGGCTGGTTCAAGAAACCTTTATAGCGCTCTTTACTAATTGTGGTTTTAAGGATGTAGGCTAGATCATCTACCCTACGCGTTCATTTGTTGTGCTAACATCATGAATCCGTATTTCATAAACACCGCTGTTAGTGTTAATAGTAATATAAGAGCGGTATTATCTAATACCTCTTTTATACCACTCTTTAGATACCGGACTCTTGGACTGGACTTTGATCTCGATATTCTCGCAACCTCATGAAATACAGGGATGTTTTAAATACAGGAATGCATAAAAAAACGAAGAAATTTTGCAAGATTTCAGAAAATGACCCCCCATTCCCCTACTTAAATCACTGTATTCATAAAATATTTTGAATATAAAAAAAAAGAAAATATTTTCACGAGAAAAGCTTAATATTAAGGAAATTTTTTTTTCTAAAAAATATATCTAATTTAAAAGTTTTAATTTTTTAACTTTGATTTGATTAAATTTGGATTTTTTTCTTCCGAAATAAATTTAGCATCCCCCTCACTTAAACCCTCTATCCGCCGAGGGAAGGAAGGCCAACCACATCAATCTCTAGTCCGAACCACATTCTCCTCATTTTCTCATCCGAACCACCTCGAAATCCTCGTCCTTTCAGTATTATTTTTTTAAGTGTCTAATCCTTCCAGATAAAACTATTTTTAAAGAATCGGGCCACGTTAGGGCATAAATGAAACATCAAACTTTTGTAAATCAAAATAAAAGTTTTAATTAGTTAACGATTTCAAGTTTAATGTCTTTAAAAATGTTCACCTTTTTTACGCGCATTTTCAGATATTCCTGGTGTAGAATGCCGCAAATAATTCCAAGTTTATAGAACTTCAATCTTTTTTGTTAACTTTAGTGAAAACCATAGAATTTTTCCGGGTGGTTCCATGGGGAAAATGATAGGCAGAGGTATGCCGAATATTTTTCTATTTTTTCATATCACGAAGGTTAGCCATTACGGAGGCAAAAGAGATTTAAGTTTTACCTAAATAAAGTTTGACATCATTCTCATGGGTTTAGAGATTCCAACATGATATAATCATTGCAATACTTTAGTCCATCCATATTTTATGCCCTAACGTGGCCAAATTTAAAAAAAATAGTTTTATCTTCAAGAATTGGAAACTTTTTAACACAAAATAATGAAAGGACTTATCACGAAGGTTAGCCATTACGGAGGCAGAAGAGATTTAAGTTTTACCTAAATAAAGTTTGACATCATTCTCATGGGTTTGAAGATTCCAACATGATATAATCATTGCAATACTTTAGTCCATCCATATTTTATGCCCTAACGTGGCCAAATTTTAAAAAAATAGTTTTATCTTCAAGAATTGGAAACTTTTTAACACAAAATAATGAAAGGACGAGGATTCCGAGGTGGTTCGGACTAGAAAATGAGGAGAATGTGGTTCGGACTAGAGATTGATGTGGTTGGCCTTCCTCCCTTCATCCACCCCTGCTTGGTATAGCTCCTGGCCCATACAATTAGTAAAGGATTAGCGTACATCAGCACTTTTTACACTATAACCTCGTTGATTATAGCGCAATACTCATGATAGTAATCAGAGATAAGAGAGTTACAGCTAAAATATGCCATATTTTCCACAACATGTTCTATTTTGTACAAGTACTGTACACGACCAATCAGCAAACATCTGTATTCAGGGATATTTAAGGATCCTTTGGATACGAAACACAAAATCTTCAAAAAAAGACTGAATTCATAAATGTTATGATTCATGTTTAAAATTGGAGTATTTCTTTCAAAGTTGTAATTCACTAAACCCCTGAATGGGTATAATATATTTAACAAGTGGCTGTGAAACGGCACTCTGAAAACCTATCGTAATAACGCAGCATGTTGTGTCAGGTCAACTTAGGCCTACGTAGCCCACCCAGTGAAAGGAGATAAGCAGTCTGTGTAGTCTGTGATAGTTTTTAATTCAGCTTTTATTGCTGTGTAATAATGTACAAATATCACAAATTAAAGCATAATTAATCATTCTAAAAGAATATGTCCTATTTTATAAATTTTTGACATGCATCTATTGAAAAACCTGTGCTGTTATCAAAATTGTTGAAAATTTTAATCATTCATATTAAATAATTCTCCCTGCAAACATTTAGTATGCAGGGAGGATAATGATCAAATTTTTGACCAGTATGTATGAAATAAATATTCATAATTTCCAAATATTTATTACCTTCCAAATGTACAGTGATATATATATACTTATATCAATAAAATGAACAGTTTTGATGTTTAGAAGCTTCTGATAAAACTGTGGTTAGCAGCAGACCTGGAAGTACTGGTGAGATCAAGCCTCCTGTGCCTGCATCAAAGGCAGCAGCAGTAGCCAAAATAAGAGCAGCCATTGCTCAGGTAAACATAACTGCGAAAAAAACAGAGCTATGGATTTTCGCTCTTTCAAGACAAAACTGTAATCAGCTACCTGGATTGATCCCGGCGCTCCTAGGAAGCGCAGTGGTTGGATTAGGAACTAAAATAGCATACTGTTTGTTCCCACACCAAAGATTAAGATAATATTAAAGCCACTAAAACGCAATTCAAGATCTCAAATATTGTGTTATGCCTAGAAATAAAGTCACTGAACATGATATTCAGAAAAAAAACTTTTAAGATGATGGCTTATGAGTCTTAAATTGGAGAACCCTTAAGTCGCAAATTACCACTTTTTAGCTCTTACATGATTTCAGTGCATGATCTCTAAGGTTTCGCATCGCATGCCTGGATTTCAGCCCTGACTTTTAAAAATCAATTAACAATAATCGATTTAGCAGATAATCTTAAATCAATTTAGAATTGAGTCCAGAAAAAAATTACAATTAATGATCTGGCAGCTAATTTTTAATCAATCAATAGCTTGTCTCTAATATGAATAAGAGAATTTTAATTGATATCAATCATAAAAATGTTTTAGGCTAAAAATTTTAAAGAATGAAATACCTATAAATGATTAAATTCAAATTTAATTTTTAGTTTTTTGTTATAAATTTTTTTAATCTTCTTAAAAATTTTATTTAACTAGTTCTCATTTCAGTCAAAAAGTGCTTCTTCAGATGACAACTGTGATAAAGCTGTGTAAGGGTACTTCAACTATATATAAAGGAAAATAGAGCCAAAAGTCCTGTTTAAAATTGTTCTTTTTTTGTACAGTATAATGGATAATGTTCTCAAATAAAATTTACAAAGCAAGCATTTATCTGTTTACTTTAATTTAATGTGTGTATTTTAATAATTAACAAAAATATCGGAATTTTTTTTAGTTTTTAAGGTTTTATTGTATATTTGAATGTATAGAGACAAAGCCGGACTCAATGATGAAAAAAAGAAAAGTGAAAAAGAGACATCTAGTGATGAAAGTATAAAACCAAATCCGGCACGGGAAGCAGCTGTTGGCAAACTGAAAGCGGCGATCCTAGCGGCAGCACTTAGTAAGCTGGACACTGAAGAATCACAGCGAACTTCGGCCAAAAGAACAGAAAGTTTAAATGCCCGAAATAAAAGCCAAAAATCTCAAAATGGAACTGAAAACTCGCGAGAGCGACGCAGAAGTGCTGGAGATGAATCAAGTGGAAGGTATTAAATTTAAAAGTGTTTTGTTTGTTTAATGGTTAAATATATTTACCGCAGGGTGTCCTAATAAACATTGCATTTATATTTATATGACAACTTCTACATCGTCTTTGTTCCAAGCGGGATTCTTTTTCATAAACATAATTTTATAGTATCACAGTTGAAATATTTACCATAAAAACTAGTAGTCTTGGGATTTCCAAAATTTGGTCTACCATTTATTACTTTCACAATTGACGGAGGTATGAGTAAATTTGTCAAGATTCCAGTTTATTAAAATTCAACAAAACTGTTAAAATGTTTAATATCTCCGTGAATGTTTAAGATGCAAGATACTTTATGTAGTTTATCAAATATCTGAAATCAAAGAGGACATTCAAGTCATCTCTCAATTCCCATATGTTTATTGGGACACACTGTAGGAACAAACAGAAGGCGGTTATCTGGGATTTCTTTGAAGAAGGAAAGAAGAAATGCACTTGCAGGTAAAAACCTACAGAGCGTCCCATATCATATTAGATTATCTTCAAGCTTTAATGCCAAAATAAAGACATAATACTCAAACACCCTGTATGTAAAGTGGGGTTACGTGTAGGGATGTTAACGTTTTCATTTTTTTTTGAAAAACTATCGTTTCCGTTTGAAAACGACGACAAAAAATCAAAAAAATGAAAACAATCGTTTTTTTAAAAAGTTCATTTTTTAAAAATAGTCGTTTTTAAAACGATCGTTTAAATAAAATCGTCGTTTCGTTAAAGATCGTTAACGACGGCCCTTTGTTAACAATCGTTAACGAAGACCCTTCGTAACCATCGTTAACGACAACCCTTTGTTAACGATCGTTAACATAATTGTTGATAATTTTTTTTCAAAAACAATCGTCTTTTCAAAAACGACAGTTTTTTTAAAAACAATCCTATAATAAACGGTCGCAAATCGTTTATATAAAAACGATCATTATCAAAAACGATCGTTATTTGGTTTCTAAAAGTTCAAAACGAGTTGGTCGTTTTTACACGGCTATTTAATTTTTTTGTACTAAACACGCTTTACGTGTTGACCAGGTCCGCTTTATACTAGTCTTAGCTTAACCATGATGCCAAGGAAAAAATACTATAACAAACTTACTCTGCAATTAATAAAATGATTTACAGGCTTTTTTTCAAATAAATTGTTTTACTGAATTTAATAGGTATATATACACGGTAATTTTCCGCTATGAATACATTATAATCTGCATGCTTATCAAAAATGAATAATAGCATAACTAATCTAAAATTGTACATTAGAAAAGCCTAAAAAAACGTAAAAATTTGTTGGAAACTTTTTCGATGTTTTCAGAACTTGTGGTTACATTGTGAACACTAAGATGAATACAGGTGGCCTGGTCCGCCATCTTAGCCTGGTTCATCAGAGAGAGTACAGAGAATACACAATTAGGTAATAAATTAAAATAATAAAATATTAAGATATTAAAATGTGCCGATCTAATAATGTTAAAAACATTTTTCTTAGTAATATCGATATAATCATTTCTACATTACAAACATATTATTCAACATTACTACCAAAGGTTTAGGAATTTAAACTTTGCGAGATTGTGAGATATTCCTGATGTTATGTTCGTATGAACAAATGTTCATTTATATAAATACGATAGTTCAAACAGAAATGTTGTTAACAACATTTTTAAAATGTTTAACATGTTTAAATGAAGCATTTCGAAAATACGGACATTTTGGTATTTGAAAATATTTAGGAAATCCGGATATTTGTTGGCCGGCTATAATATTTACGAATATCTTGTTTTATTATATAGATTTATATAGAATATATTTCAAATTTTGTTTAAAATAAGAAAAAAAGATGTTCTCATGTTCTGAAAAATATTTGTAACAATTTGACATTCTTTCGGTCATTTGATATTTCTTCTAAAATTCCACAGGATGGTAAAGATAAGTCTATTACAACTACAAGATGCAAAGATAAGGGAAAAAACGTCCAATTGTCTTGCAGTTTTGAGGGTGTCCCACGAAACATGACAGAGGGTGAATAGTTTTAAATGTATTTTTCCTACTGTAGTAGATGTTAAAGACTTTTTGCAGTTTATTTAGTTTTAAAAATCTTTTACTCAAATATATTTTACTNTCATGTAGGAGGGCAACATTTATAAGCAATTATGTAGGAGGGTAACATTTTTAAGCAATCATGTAGGAGGGCATCATTTTTAAGCAGTCATGTAGGAGGGCAACATTTATAAGCAATCATGTAGGAGGGCAATATTTTTAACCAATCATGTAGGAGGGCAACATTTTTAAGCAGTCATGTAGGAGGGCAACATTTATAAGCAATCATGTAGGAGGGCAACATTTATAAGCAATTATGTAGGAGGGCAATATTTTTAAGCAATCATGTAGGAGGGCAACATTTATAAGCAGTCATGTAGGAGGGTAACATTTTTAAGCAATCATGTAGGAGGGCAACATTTTTAAGCAGTCATGTAGGAGGGCAACATTTTTAAGCAGTCATGTAGGAGGGCAACATTTTTAAGCAGTCATGTAGGAGGGCAACATTTATAAGCAGTCATGTAGGAGGGCAACATTTTTAAGCAATCATGTAGGGCTGGGCAAAGTTCCGTTAACAAAACGGAGGTTTTCGTAAATTAACGGAAGAGTCCGTTAGTTTTTAAATTGTAAACGAAATGGATTAGCCGTTTAAAAAAAATTACGCTTGAAAACGAAAATGAAACAGTATTTTAATGAGTTACTTATTCACAGATTTGGCAAAGAATAAAAAAACAAGTTTACAGTTTTAGTGTATCATGAATGATTATTAAGATACAGAATTCAATGAATGAATTCAATCAGTCGTCTCTGAAGTCTCATTCTTTGTGGGTAACCCTGAATATATATCTCTGGCAATTCTTTAAAATGCAGACCACATTTTGGAAATGGCAGGACCAGGGCTTTTTGTGGCTATCGTTTCATTAATCATATTTGTAATTCTAGATTGCAAAGTCGTCTGATTAATTGTAAATTAATTCCGGGTCTTTCTGGTTAGGACTGCACATAATTAAGTATTGAAATATAATCCACACATCAAACTTTATAATGATGATATATATAAAATTCAGTTAGATTAGATTAAATGTTTATTATTTCTTTACATACATGGTGGGTGTCCCACGAAACATGACAGTTGGTAAATAGTTTAGAATGTTTTCTTCCATAATTTGTTAAGTTGTTTAATACCAAAGACAATAATAAAAATATTATAAATGATTCTTATTTCAGTAAAATAATTTCAAAGTAAACTAGATTTGAGCAAAAGATTTTTTGAACGAAATAAACTGCAAACAGCCTTTAATTTCTAATACATTGTATTGAAGACGACATTCAAAACTATTTACTTACTATTGTGTTTCGTGGGACACCCTGTACATGTTGTAAAATTGTGCTTATATTGGCATTTTATGATTTAAAACTTACATAAAAATAAACAATTATCCTATTCTCTTGTTTAGGATGGACAAAAACTGGACTCATGGAATGATGGAAAAAAATTTGAACATGAAACTTCCGAAAAACTTTTAAATTTAAGATACTAAGGTTTAAATGTGTTACAAAGGTTTAAAAATATATTTCCTAAAATCTGTGTATCTATAAAATCTAATCTATAAGAACTGTAAATCTTCCAAGTAAATAGCTCACACATTAATCTATGTGGTAGGCGATTATATCAATACAAAGAAATCGTCTTTCGATTTTAATTTTCATATATATTCAAGCTCTTCCAAACATAGAAGTCAAGAGAAGCTGTCAATTAAAACAAGTACCTGTAAACCTGTAATTCTAAAAAAAGTTTGTAAACAATCAAATGTTAGATAAAAAAGTCGTCTTCTTTGTATTCATATAATCGCCAACAACTCAAGTTTTCTCTTTCAAAAACTAATTCACAATTTTTTTCAGCATCATCTTTCTGAATAGTGCACTTCTTAGACTTCTCTTCTCTTCTTCCTCCTCCTTCTCTCCTTCTTTCCTAAGCATAGAGATGGGCGTCGTGTTTTCGTATTTTCGTATTTTTCAACAAAGGAAATTTTTCAGAACGAACGAATTTTTTTGTGAAAAAAAAAAATTACGATGGTCGAACGAAATGGATCGTTCAGAGGAGTGAAAAATGATCGTTTGAACAAACATAAAAACGATAGTTTTTTGTTTAACGAACAATTTTTTTAATATTTAAAAAAAACGATAGTTTTTTATTAAATTACAGATGAACAAACGAAATAAAATATTTCGAACGTGCACATCTCTACCTCAGCACCCTTTCCATCTCTTCTATCTTCGTATCCTTCTCCATTCTTCTTTTTTCATCTTTCTTGTCATCTTCCTCCATATTCACTTCGGATTCATAAATTTCTAAACATATGTTTCATTTCATTTTATTTTATTACCTCACCATGATTGTCAGAAAGATAAAAAATAATACTCGTATTTCAATTATGTTTTTTATAAATTGTATTTATGATGTTTACACTGATAACCGGAAAACTGAAGATTTGGAAGACGACATTAATGCAATACTGAAGTAAATTTGATGTTGTTACAAAACTAATAGCTTTACTATAATAGTAAGTTATTAAATCACTTATTAAGAGAAAGGGCCCTGCTTACACTGCATACTTACTTTGTCTCATGTTCATTGAACTATTTAAACTCAAGACTTGAGTCTAAAAGTCGACTTCCTATTCCAAGGTTTTCTAGTTATCACTGTATAATAAGAATTGACCTGAAAACACGCCGGAGTCTAGTCCTTCCTCTCCACCTGAAAACAAATATAAAGTAATATATAATAATATTGTAAAATTACAAAAAAGTGTTAGCCGGGTATACAGACATTTTTCTCAATAGAAATCATAGTTGTTCAATAGCTAACGCAAGGATATCAGAGCTGGGAACTTTAGAATGGTGCATATCAGGACTAATGCTTAATCCTCTCTTTTTGCTAATCTCGAGACTGACATAATCTCGAGATTATGTTAGTCTCGAGATTAATTATTTAGGTCAACGAATTTGATTCTAAGAACGTAAGATGTGTTCGTTTTCTTGACTGGAAGGGCCTTCACTTAATTTTTCACACATTTATTTATTAATACATTAGTTAAAATTAGATAAAAAAGAATCTCAAACGTATTATTACATATTTTTCAATTACAAAATGGCCGACAACAAATTCTTTATTTGTTAGAAATTGCGGAAATCTCTCATTCGACAGAATTTATTTTCAAGGCTGTCAATGGTCACGAACTATATTCCTGCACTCTCATTGGAGAAAGCAATGTACGGATATCCAAAGAGAGTGAAAAAGAGTGGATTAAGAACTAGATTTAAAAGTTTCCACAATGGATATTTGCATTAAGCAGTCGGGATTAAAGGTTATCCATTCTAAAGTTCCCAGCTCTGGACACCTTTTTTCTTGAGACGATTTTAGATATAAATGTAATTTTAAAGCCATTATTCTTTAAATAGTACTTTGAATAACTAAACATTTTGCAGATTTTCCCGGTTTTCTTTTATGGATTTCCAAAAACCAAAGTTTCTATAGCTTTAAAACAAAAATTTGATTGGAAGATGACATTTTACCTGGGCTTAGTTTCCAGGGATTCTCGACCATCAAGAAGTTTACATCCTCTGCCTCGTGTTCCTGTACAGTTGTACATGGAACAAGGTTATTCTGTACAACACCAACTTTTCTCTGTCTTTGCATAGACAAGATGGCGGCGGTCTGATCACTCCTCTTCCTTTCCTGTCTCAGTTTCTGGATTTGTTTCAGCTTTAGCTGTTGTTGTTGTTGAATATATATCTGCTGTTGGAGCTCCTTTAGCTGTTGTTGTTGCTGCTTCTTGATCTCCTTGTCAATGGGTTTATAAAAATCAGATAAAAATAAGATAAAAACAAGATAAAAATACTCGATGGATTAATAAAAATGTAATTTAAATAAAAATTATATGTAACGTTGTTGAACAAAATCATTTTAAACTCCCCAGAGCCTTTGAAAGTCGTCTTTACCAGGTTTGCCAAGGATTTATTTCTCTGACGGAGTCCTACACACCAAACCCCCCCCCCAAACTCTGATACTCCATTGTGTACCAAAACCGCTCATGTTAAAGTGAAATAAGTTAAAATTCCAAATGAAAACAATCTTAGTTCTTTTTTTTAAACAAGCAATTATTTTCAGAAGACAATTATGTTTTAGTCACAAATCAATCACTTCTCTATTTCGAGTGTGTTAAGACTTAATAGTAAGTTATCCTTTCAAATACAATCATAATACTAGTAACAAAAAATGTTCGGAACTTTATTTCAACAGTATCAACTTATCAGTTTATAAATATTTACTCCCCTCATTCAACAACCTTAAACTGTATCCTTTACCATTTGTGTTTCTTAAAGTTAATCATTTGCTATTTTTTATGAAAACAAATACCCGCATTTTATAACTCCAGAAACATTGTAATTAAATCATCCTTGTTTCAGGTTTGAAATATATTTTGCGACTAACAGTTTTAACACATCGGAGAGAGTCCTAGAGAAGCTTAATCACCTTGTGTATGCCTTTACAAACGTGCTGTGCATAACAATATCTTTCAAGTATATAGATCCAAGGATTAACGGTAACATCCAGTATACGATAAAGAGATTTTTGTTTTTTAACTAATTTTTTAAATTATTATTATTGTCTTTACTTTTTTTGTTGATTAATATTGTCAATAAGTTTACTGTGTTTTTCTCTAACTTCCATATCTCAGCAAATCCACAATGGATGAAGTAAAGACGACCTAAAACTAAATGTGACTATTCCAATCTTAAATTAAGTCTCCTTTTTTGAATTTTGCCTTTCAATAGCTTATTTTATAATTTGGCAAAGAAAGAAACAAGTTTACAGTTGAAGGGAATTATGAATTAGAGGAAACAGACAGTGTAAATTCCGCGCAATCGTCTCTGAAGTCTGACCATTTGTTGGTAAACCTGTATCCTGAGGATAAACTTTTGTGTAGGAATTTCCGAAACAAAAGAACAGAAATAATTAGAGTAGACTTTGTTCAGTCCCTTTTAACCCTAAAAAAGAGTTTAAAGAGTACAATTCATGTAAATATTCACAAATTTTACGCAGTACATCACATAGTACATTATGATCCCAGGACATATCAGTTACAATATCTTCTCTTTGTAAAGTTTATACTGAAATGAACTTGGGATTCAGTCGGAAATGCATGGGAGGTTGTCAGAGAATTAATTTAGAAAAAAATTAAATAAGTTTCAAGAATTGTTTTACCTACTAAAAGGTGTTCCAGTGCCCAAAAAGTTATATAGCACATATGAGTGAAGTACACCTGCAGTATGGAAACAGTACAACAAAATCGGGTTAACATATATCTATATTTTAACTATTCTATCTGGCTAAAACCATAGAGAATAGAATATATATTAGAGAGGAATTTACTCTAAAAAAGTGTAAAACGGCCATTTTGTGTACTGTTTCAATACTGCAGGTGTACTCTCATATTTGTGCTATATAACCTTTTGGGCCCTGGAACATCATTTCATAGAAAATCAAAAATTAATATTAAAAGAAAACTAAATTATGAAATAGGCTGGTTTTATAATTGATCAATAATCATTTCACATAGGCTCTATGCCTTTCACTTTACAAACGATGATTTTCCGTTATAACTATAAATCAAATGATGTTTTTATTCACCTAATTCATTATAAAGTTTATTTAACAGCTTTAAAAAATTCGAAAATTGAAATGGATAGTCTAGGGAACATACTGTTTTAATGTACTCTACTGTATATAATTGGTGAACATATACATGAATTGTACACTTTGAACTCCCTTTCAGGCTGAAAGGGACTGACAAAATTCATACCGAGAGATTCTTTAAATTCCTCTCCAATATATATTCTATTCTCTATGGCTAAAACCTTTTGTAAGGGGCATGTTGCAGTTATTATAAATAACCCTCCAATTTTAGAAGGGCGTGCCGACTCACAACATACACTTAATCTGATCAATAATGTGGGAGATAACATCGTTTATTCAAGCTTAAAAATTGTTTAGTACTGTCTTCTTCATTGTTTCTGAAGCAAGAAATGCGCAAGACACTCTTGAATCGAAAAACCACGAATTGAAATAATCAGTTCTCAAGAAAAACATAGACGTCAAATTCATACTTCAGGTGTACCCTCGTGGATCAGACATACATCTAGCTCTAGCAATGAAGGGTAACATAAGATTACGTTTACAGCATTTCTAAAAGAAAAAAAAGAAGGCAGCAATCATTATTGTCTTTTTATTAACATCATTTATAATGGTGTGTAGAAAGGTTAATAGCATAGAGAATAGAATATATATTAGAGTGGAATTTAGGCAATCGTTCGGTATGGATTTTTTTAAGTCCCTTTCAGTCTGAAAGGGAGTTCAAAGTGTACAAATCATGTAAATGTTCACAAATTATATGCAGTAGATTTCATTAATACAGTATGTTTCCTTGACTAAAATCTATTTAAATTTTGAATTTGTTAAAGTTGTTAAATAAACTTTATAAAATAAATTAGGTGAATAAAAAACCATCATTTGATTTATAGTTATAACGGAAAATCATCGTTTGTAAAGTGAAATAATTATTAGTCAATGATGAAACCAGCCTATTTCAGAATTTGGTTTTCTTTTAATGTTAATTTTAGATTTTCCAGGGCCCAAAAGATTATATAGCGAAAATATGTGAAGTACACCTTTAGTATGGAAACAGTACAACAAAATGGTCGTATTACACTTTCTTCTAGTAAATTTCACTCTAATATATATTCTATTCTCTTTGTTTAATAATTAAATTAATGTAAAATACAAATAAATGTTCCTAATGACCAAAATTTAATTCAAAAATTTATTTTAAACTTTTTGCTTATTAAAAAATCATTACAAATCAAAACGTTATTTCATGCAAAACCAGAAAATCCAACAAATATATATATTGTAAATTCACATTATTCATTAGCAATAAATTTAGCTTGGATTTTAGCTAAAATTATGGAAAATCTATTTTTAGGAATGTTTTTAGAATTGTTACTCTATAAAATTTCTTTGGTGTTAGGCTTAATTCTTCAAAATTTGGATTAGGTTTTGTTTGAGTGTATCTGGTACAGATTTGTCCTGGAGCCAGAGGTTTCCCTTCTCTGACACCATCTCCCAACAGTCCTTGAGATCAGGGAACCGTACTTCAAGGAGCAGGAGGAGAAGGTTAGTGTAGAAAACCTTCTCCTCCAGGTTTCCTTGAACCTTCTCCAACTCCTCCTCTTTCAGCCCACACAGGGAGAAGATTGATTTATCCTTAGAGAACGATCCTTCAGCTGTTTGTAGAGCAATTAGTTGGAGAAGGATCTGCATTTTTCTTTTCTCTGGGTCTGTTTCTATAAAGTCGGAACTATCAATAGTTTCAACAGACTCCTTCATAGCGTATGCAGGTGCAGCAGAACCAAAACTAGCTCCTGCACTTTCGAATCCTCCGAAGGATGCAGAATCAAGCGAGGTTCTTTGAAACTGTTGTGGTGGAGGGGCTGCAGCACCAAAACAGAATCCTTTGTTCATACCACCGGGTGCCGCAACCTTAGCCATCATAGGGGGTGCCATGGCCATCATCGGAGGTGCCGCCATGGCCATCATAGGGGCCGCCATTGGTGCTCCAAACCCACCACCACCTCGTTTAAACATTGAGTTGCACATCATGACTTGTGGGCCTCCAAAGGCAAACCCAAATGGGACTTGGTTTGCAACATGTCGTTTCACCATTTTCCCTTCCTTTTTTTCCTTGGTATCTACAGCTATAAAAGAAGTGTACTTTGACATAATCTGATATTTTAAGGATAGATCAATGACAAGATTTTTTATTTCCCCCTCCTCCTTTTCATCATAGTTCTCCTCCAGTTCCTGGATCATCTTCCTTCCAAACATCTTGTGGAGCAAGGAGTCCTTCATAAGGTTTGTCTCAACCTTCATCTCCTCTGAATAAGTGGAGTTAGAAGAAGGAATTTCCGCACTAATCTTGACTAGAGCAGGCAGACTTACATTCTTCTCAAGCAAGCGGAATACTTGTATCCGCGTACCATCATAGATAGGAGGAAGGAGGGAGGGAGCCTGACATGAATTCCCTGGACCAACCTCATCTCCCCAGTTAATCTCAGCATTCTCAAAACTGGGTTGAAGACAGTTCTTCAATTGTTTAATGATCTTAGGAGCCATAATCTCACCTTCAACTGTAAACACTGAGGTTCCTAGACCAGATCTAGCTAAACCCTTGACTAGATGTCGATCAGCACCTGAACCTATACCTAGAGTAAACACACGGTTATTCTTGTTGTTCTTCCTTGTAACCTTGATACACTCGGAGCTGTTGGAAACAGATCCGTCCGTCAGAATAAATATTCTTCTGGGAACCTTTGTCTTCTCCTCTAGAAGGGCACAGAGTGGAGATAAAATCTCAGTCCCACCTAAATCTGCTTCAAGCTTAGACATAGCTAACTTAGCTTCTCTCAAGGATTGATCAGAATACTTTCTGCTCTCTGGGAAGAGCATCTGATAACTGCTTCCAAACCTGATGATATTAAAGTGTACCGAGGCTGGGAGAGAGTGTAGAAGTATGTTGATTGCCTCCTTGGCTAGCTGTATACTGCTCCCCATCATGGACCCTGAGCAGTCAATAAGGAATACAATATCTAGATCAGGCTTGGTGTTCACCTCCAGCTTAGGAACAAGAGAAACCATCATTACCTTGGATTCATCTGTCTCCTCTATGAAAATGATAGATTTGTTTGGATCCTCACACTCTACTAGTATAATTATATCCCGGTCTAGATCTACAGTTGTAGATTCAAGAGTAGTTTCAGTAGTATAGAATCCTTCTTCAACCACCTCCTTACCTCCAGTAGTGTTAATTTCATGACTAGGACTAGTAACCTTCTCAATCCTACTCTTCATAGTTGTGTTTAGCTTGAAGAGGAGTTTAGCTGGGCTCTTGAAATCATATTGTATTGATGCTATACGCTTAGCTTCCTCAGAACCATCCTTGAAGGGAATATACTTTGGAGATATTGTAGTTGGGATAGTTAACCTTGCTCTCCCTGTCTCCAGGGGCACCTCGGAGATATAGGTGATAGAGACAGAGCAGGTAGACCCTGGAGCTAGATGACCGACAGAGATCTGAAGGATGTCAGGTCGTGTGGACTCCATGAGGAAAGCAGTTCTACCCTCTGATACAGCTTCGTCATAATCATCTTTAGCTTCAGTACTCTTCTTAACCTAAATTAAAAACTGATTAATGACATAAAATTGTACAGGAAGAAAATAATATGTTAAAATATATATATTAATAATATATAATATATATAAGCTTGAATGGAAAAGGTTTAAAATAATAATATGTCAGTAGGACAAACCAAAAAGAAAAAGACAATTGATGAAAAAAGAACATGTTAAAAAAAGTGGTTGTCTTTTAATAATAATGATGGTGATGATAATAGTAATAATCACTTTTGCATGTGACAGAAGAAAGTTTGTTAACAATGCATGAATAACACTGTAAAATGATAAGGTATGCACTATGTAAATAATTTTATCTTTTCTGTATCCTTAAACCAGGATATTTATACAATGACTGGGTGTGTATTTTTACGGGTATAACAATTAAAACAATAGAACCACCCCTTCCCCACAACTATAGAGAAACTTATGTCCATCTTTAAGCCGGTTTTTGAGTGGGAATCATTTCAGTTGTTTGTTATTAAGGGGTGGGGGGGGGAAATATTTTCTAAGAATAAAGAAATGAGGAAAGTCAAATTATGAAAGAATATCAAGGAACTTTTAAAGAATAAAAAGGATTAAAGGATTAACTATCCGTGAGACTAGAACCCTGTCATCTATCTCCGCCTTGACTACTAGTATGAAGGATTAACTACCTGTGAGACTAGAACCCTGTCATCTATATCCGCCCTGACTACTAGTATGAAGGATTAACTACCTGTGAGACTAGAACCCTATCAACTATCTCCGCCCTGACTACTAGTATGAAGGATTAACTACCCTTGAGACTAGGACCCTGTCAACTATCTCCGCCCTGACTACTAGTATGAAGGATTAACTACCTGTAAGACTAAAACCCTGTCATCTGTTTCCACCCTGACTAGTAGTATGAAGGATTAACTACCTGTGAGACTAGAACCCTGTCATCTATTTCCACCCTGACTAGTAGTATGAAGAATTAACTAACCTTGAGACTAAAACCCTGTCATCTATTTCCACCCTGACTAGTAGTATGAAGGATTAACTACCCTTGAGACTAGAACCCTGTCATCTATTTCCACCCTGACTACTTGTATGAAGGATTAACTACCTGTGAGACTAGAACCCTGTCATCTATCTCCACCCTGATTACTAGTATGAAGAATTAACTACCCTTGAGACTAGAACCCTGTCATCTAACTCCACCCTGACTACTAGTATGAAGGATTAACTACCTGTGAGACTAGAACCCTGTCATCTATCTCCGCCCTGACTACTAGTATGAAGAATTAACTACCTGTGAGACTAGAACCTTGTCATCTATATCCGCCCAGACTACTAGTATGAAGAATTAACTACCCTTGAGACTAAAACCCTGTCATCTATTTCCACCCTGACTACAAGTATTAAGGATTAACTACCTGTGAGACTAGAACCCTGTCATCTATCTCCACCCTGACTTCTAGTATGAAGAATTAACAACCCTTGAGACTAGAACCCTGTCATCTATTTCCACCCTGACTAGTAGTATGAAGGATTAACTACCTGTGAGACTAGAACCCTGCTATATATCTCCGCCTTGACTACTAATATGAAGGATTAGCTACCTGTGAGACTAGAACCCTATCATCTATCTCCACCCTGACTAATAGTATGAAGAATTAACTACCTGTGAGACTAGAACCCTGCTATATATCTCCGCGCTGACTACTAGTATGAAGAATTAACTACCTGTGAGACTAGAACCCTGCTATATATCTCTGCCCTGACTACTAGTATGAGGGATTAACTACCTGTGAGACTAGAACCCTGTCATCTATCTCCACCCTGACTACTAGTATGAAGAATTAACTACCTGTGAGACTAGAACCCTGTCACCTTTTTCCACCCTGACTAGTAGTATGAAGGATTAACTACCTGTGAGACTAGAACCCTGTCCTCTATCTCCACCCTGACTACTAGTATGAAGAATTAACTACCTGTGAGAATAAAACCCTGTCATCTATTTCCACCATGACTAGTAGTATGAAGGATTAACTACCCTTGAGACTAAAACCCTGTCATCTATCTCCGCCCTAACTACTAGTATGAAGGATTAACTACCTGTGAGACTAGAACCCTGTCATCTATCTCCGCCCTGAACCCGACCACGGCGGACTCCTCCTCAATGGGAAAGAAGTATTCACACTCTATTGGATTTTCCTCCTTGTTGGTGTACCTCTGCAGTACAGTGACCTCTGCAGTAAAGTTGACCAGCCTGCTGGTGATTTCAACGCCTACTAGAGGTACAGGTATATACCCTGCTCCCCCCTCCAGTCTTGTTCTTAATCCACAATATTTATCCATCTTGATTTGACAATTTCTTTAAAAATATCTGAAATTTTTGATAAAATTTAAAGAATTATTGTGAACTTTTGAACTTTTCACTGGTTTGGAATATAGATATTTTAATATAATTTTTCTTGCTTCGAAATACGCATTGTTTCTAGATTTAAATAATATATAGATTATACATGGATACAGAGTGTCCAATATTACATATTTCTAAAAACATTGGAATTCCAGGAACAATGTTAAACGTATAAATCATTAAAAAATTAATAAATGGTTAATGGTTTTTCAATCTAACTTATGCAGCCGGGGAGTGTTTAAAACACGAAACAATGTGTACAGCAATAAAAGCGGAAAATAAAGTTTAATAAATAGAAAGGTACACTTGCCACTAAATATACTATTGAAAAATATAAATCTTTGCAACTTAATTGAGTAGATATTTGATATTTTCCAGTTTTCACTAAAACTTGCAATCTAACAGAATCAATAATTTGAAATGTAAACATTAACATCAGATTGTAAAGATATAATGTTGATGCGAATGTTGATGTATATGATGTATATGAATACAGAAAATGAATTGTGGTAAACTGTTGATATTGTTCTACGACCAGTACCCATTTCTACGACGTATATGTGACTGACTATAACTGACTAGTGACTAATTTTGAGGGAGGCTAGGCTAAACTTTATATCTATCTATGCGAGCCTTTCAGCTCTAAAGCCGGGCCCATTCAATAATCAGCTGACTGTAGGTAAACAGAAGACAGGCAGCTGAATCATAATATTTCACAAAAAGTATACCTAAACAAGATTATTATATCATTCAACATGTTTTTTCTTCAGTAATTTTCTAAAGTATATCTATCCCTGTATTTATGACAAAGACGGAGAAATTGTGAAATTCTTCCTGGAAATACTGAGATTTATAAACATATAAATTACGTAATAGATTAGCTGAAGTGACCGGCGTTGCCCGTGAAATTTAAAAAAATCGAATTTTTTAAAAAATGATATTTTTAAAGGATTTATTTATTTGATTATTAAAGAAAAAAATGAGATTTTTTACCCTCTGGGTACCCCTGAGTTTCTTAAAATGAAATTTTGTCATTTGGCCCATGCCGTTTGGCCAGCTATAGCTGACAATATTTCATTTAAATATATCTGAGCTTTATTATGTAAATTACGTAATAGTAGATATCCATTATTATATTTCATCATCCTCTCTCTTGATTCTAAAACGTTTCCGTATAATTAGGGATATCGCTTTCATTTTTTTTTATAACTATCGCTCCCTTAAGAAAACGACGTTTTTTTAAACCCGTTTTTTAAAACGGTCGTTTTATAATGATCATTTTTATAAAATTCGTCATTTTGTTAACAATCGTTAACTTCAATTGATTTAACCCTATTCTCTCATATATATTGAATTGCCAGTCCTACTCCCCCCCTACTTTAATTGATTTAACCCTATTCTCTCATATATATTGTATTGCCACTCCTACTCTCCCCTACTTCAATTGATTTAACCCTATTCTCTCATACATATTGTATTGCCACTCCTACTCCCCTACTTCAATTGATTTAACCCTATTCTCTCATATATATTATATTGCCACTCCTACTCCCCCCTACTTCAATTGATTTAACCCTATTCTCTCATAGATATTATATTGCCACTCCTACTCCCCTACTTCAATTGATTTAACCCTATTCTCTCATATATATTGTATTGCCACTCCTACTCCCCCCTACTTTAATTGATTTAACCCTATTCTCTCATATATATTATTGTTGTCGCTAAGGAACAAGATTCTGACGATGAACAGATAGACAAGGAATAACCCTCAAATTAAAATCGATAATGCAGAAAACTCTTTATTTCCTAAAAAAANTATATTGCCACTCCTACTCCCCTACTTCAATTGGTTTAACCCTATTCTCTCATATATATTATATTGCCACTCCTACTCCCCTACTTCAATTGATTTAACCCTATTCAATCATATATATTATATTGCCACTCCTGCTCCCCTACTTCAATTGATTTTTGATCATTCGTTGTTTTACAATCGTTTTAAAAAAAGATTAACAACCCTACGTACAATATATAATACATAAACAATTTCTTTAAAAAGTCAACTTTAAATGAGATTAAGACTTTTTTTTGTCATTCCACAAAAAGGAATTGAGTCTTTGTCAGAAATTCATTTTTTGTAAAACCTATATTTTTCATTCTTATGATGTAAACCTTTGATATTTCAAACTTACATTATTTGATCTAATAGCATTTATAGTTTGAAATATTAAAGATCTACGTCATTGGGTTGCAAAGATATTGAAATTAGAAAATTTGAGTTTGTGGCAAAAAGTCAATTCCTTTGTTAACTTGTGCATAATTATTGCAGCTTTATATAAAGTTTTGTAAGCATGTGCATTGTACAAATTAACCATATAGGCGTCTATATTCACCAATAATGTATTAATGTCAGGGGGCAATATAATTCCCAAAAAAGCTGATTTTCTCGATCCCAAAATAATTTTTTGCCCCTAANCCGTATTAATGTATGTATAGTTTTTGTGAACTACTTAAATTTGTGTTTTTATTGTGCATTATTATTCAAGTATTTCACAAAAACTATTATGTTTTTTTAATTGTTTTTCATATAGCTAGATTTATGATATACCTGTAAAATGATATAAAATTTGTCTATCATTATATAAAGCTGCTTATAGTTATGCATGCAAGTTCAGGAATTTGTGAAATTTATAGACAAACAAAATAGACGTCGTGATCTCAAATAAAGCTGACTTTTTAATACAAATCGTTTATGTATCATCAAATCATTTTTCGAAAAAAAGTTTTTTGGTGAATGTAAAAGCTAAATATTTGTCACTGCAGATATGAATGCTGGACGTAGATTGAGTCACAGAGATGATTTTGATTGTCTGAGGTCATTCTGCGAATCAGGAGGCCCTGGAGGTCAGTTCAGCGGGGCTTTGGCTGCTCTGCACTCCCTCCCTCATTGAAGAGCCATTGATGAGAAAAGAAAAGTTGTTTTATATTTCTAATATATATTTTCTCCTACTTCTGCGTAAATTAAAGCTAGAGGAGCTAGGAGGTCACAAAGTCGTCCAAGTAAAGTCTCATAAATGTTACTTTCACTTTCATCTAAAGTTTGTTGTGGGGACTAAATATGCACAAGAGTTGGTGAAAGAAGAGCGGTGTTTTGAAGCAATTACAGTTCGTTCCTCGTTCGGTAATTTATGATCGTTCCGATATTTTTAAGAAAGCGTTCGTTAATATTACGGAACTCGATGGCATTATCACCGGAAAAATCCCATCGTTCCTTAAAAGAACGCCATTAATTTTAAAAAAGTTTTACAGTTTTGAAGTTTCCGAGTTCAATCTGGAGGCTACAAACAAACATAGAGGTCACACAAATATCCAGATTCTGTATTTTTTTTTTCTTCGAAATGTTAAAGGTGTTTGGTCCAGAATAGACGGGTTGTATTCACAGGAAAACAGTAAACTAGAGAATTTTCTTAAAAATTAGTAAAATAAACAAAGTCGGAAAAAATGATGATAAAAATGAAATATTTTTTCGATAATTAGTGCAAAAAGCTCATCCTACGTTTTGATACCCATTTGATTCAATAATTTGGAGCATTGTCACTAGTTTCAGCAGAAATCAACTGAAGGGTTGCATTATTAATAATTCGATAATCTAAAACTGCAAATTTTTCTTCCAAAATTAGTCAAATATTTCGAGAAGCAAAACTGCCGCTATTTTTTCTCGTTACATAAATCCCGTTATAACGAAAGATTTTGGCATTGAACAAAGTCTTTCACCTCGACCTAATCAGTTATATAACAAGTGTACAATGATCTCTATATTTTATATATGTAAATATGACCTTGGAGAAAGCCAGGATAAAACATGCAGGCATCAAGTAAATCAAACTAACTTAACTAACTTTTAATTGGAACCTTGTGTTAATTGTTCTATGTGGCATCATTTGTATTAATGGAATTTGACCTTGTAGTGTTAAACATAAAGATGAAATTACAGTTAAGCAGTTGAGCTGGAAAATAAAAGGGTGTTTATAAAAAACACTTCACACTTTTTTGTCTCAACGGCTTAATTTTTACCCGCTCTAGGATGTTAGGACTATGCGAAAAAAATCATCGGATTTTGTCGACCCTACTCTGAATAAATGCTTTTCTTGGGCCACTGAGAAAAAGTGGTTTTTTTAAACACCCTGTAGAATTGGTTAATTTTAGGCAATGTCTCATTTCAATTATAACTTAATTGATATTTTAAGATTAAAAGGACGTATACTGTAATAATTGCGTAATTTGAAGTGACAACCTTGTGCAAAGTGCAAAGATGTCAATGCCCGATTCACAACGTTGCGCTTGAAAGCTTTTTTTGATCAAGTATGAATGTTAATAATTTTGAAACCTGATTATTTTCAATTGTGATTTCTGGCAAAGTTTCGTTAAAAAGCAGAATTTAACTGATTTGCAAACCTAACCTAGCCTGAAAAAAAAAAATTATTGAGATTTAGCATAAAACCTGCCATTTGAATGTTCATAAATAAATGAAATTTGACGAAAATTAGCGTAAAAGGACTGTATTATTGTATATTTTTAACTCTTTATTTGTATTAACTGAGTTTCTTTTAAATTAGTTACTTGCGTGCCCAGCTAATAAAGGCTGAGATTTTTAAATACGATTTTAGTCGCGTTCTTATACTAGAGTTTTTTTCTTCAATTTTTTAGACATAAACCAATTCCTTAATAAAAGTTGTTTCCCCAGTCAGCTGCTGATTAGCCCCAGTCAGCTGTTGATTTCCTCCTGTCAGCTGTTGGTTTGCCCCAGTCAGCTGCTGATTTCTCCCAGTCAGCTGTTGATTGGCCTCAGTCAGCTGTTGATTTGCACCAATCAGCTGTTGATTTTCCCCAATCAGCTGATGATTTCCTCCAGTCAGCTGTTGATTTGCCCCAATCAGCTGTTGATTTGCCCCAATCAGCTGTTGGTTTGCCCCTAAGCTATAAGATCTCCGACTCTGACTATCCTGGTCTGAGTGGTGTGTTGTTGCTGGATAATAAAAAGAAGTTTTTTTGCCTGAATATTGCTGTTGCCTGGATGTAAAAGGCCCACTTCTTGGTGTACTGTTCTCATCAGTGGTCTTGTGATAGTGGTGTGCCTGAAAAAAAAAATATTAATTTCTTTCAGATTTTAATTCAAACAATGTCTTAAATTCAGCCAAGTACCAATATCAGGGTCTAATTAAATATGAATAATTTGGAACCCACTATATTCCTAGAGGGGTATATCCTCGATTTACACCGGTATTACCCTTTAAACATATTTATCTAAGTACCAACAAATAAAAATTACTGCCTTTTTTATCTTGAAAAGAATTAAATACCATAAATACCATGAATGTCCCATTATATAAGAAATTATATAAGAAAAACACAATTAAAATTATTCAATTCACAATTAAAAAATGGAAATCTTAGTGATCCTTATAATTCAAAAGTTTTAAAGTCTCCTTGAAACGTATTCATCATGACCACCGAATATTGTCATGCAAAAGTTAACTATTTACAAACTTAAAGGGAGTATTCGCAAAAATTGAAAGGGGGTATAGACTTACGGCGAAAAATACTCGCTTTTGATCGCTACTAATCTTACTTCTATCTGTTGCGTCTATAAGGAGAAATTTATTAAAATATTCGTTTTGTTTAGAATGCTCTCGATGCTTTTAGACAGAAACACCTAGCGGAAAAAAGTTGTTTTAAGGGCATTTATACAAATAAAAAATATTATGAAATATTAACTATATTTGAAGGCGTCGAAAAATAATCGATATGACTTTAGTTGTAATATCTGAATGATTTGTTTGAAATTAAATTGATTATTTTATGATACGAGTTGTATATTGCAACTTTCTTAATTTGTATGGATGCTACGTTCGTCAGTATAAGTCGTTTTTAACCTCCTTTTAGACACAACAGATAGAAGTAAGATTAGTATTGATCAATAGCGATTATTTTTCGCTGTAAGTCTATCCCTTCATTTTTCACAAACACTCCCATAAGAATCGTCAGAATCGTCATATTTAGTCAAAGTCTTCCAGTGTATAATCTGTTTATTCGAAGTATATATTAAATCCTTAGTAAACATATAACGATTTTGTATACAGTTTAACCTATAGAACTGCCGAGATATATCAAAAGATTTTTTCACAAGGCCCGTAAACAACGTTAAAATGTGTGTTTTTTTTTTTCGTTAAACCTAAACCTCAGTAATCGTAAAAATAGATAATTTGAACATTCCATTATTAGTAGAAGACGACATTTTACAAATTATTTAGAGATCTTCAAAGGTCTGGGTTAAACTGTAGTAAAATATGTGAAATATTCACCTCTAGTATACGTTCTACTGTTTGATAAAGAAGTATGTATGGAAGGTTGGAAGGAAGATGAACCCTAAAATATTTAAATCTTAGAAAACTAGTTGAAGTGCCTGGCGTTACCCAGGTTACTCATAGTTAATCCCACCGTTTACCCGCGCTTGTTCTTAAATTATGAATTTAGTTGAAGTGCCTCGCGTTACCTAGGTTAAACATAGTTTATCCCACCGTTTACCCGCGCTTGTTCTTAAATTATGATTTTAGCTGAAGTGCCTCGCGTTACCTAGGTTAAACATAGTTTATCCCACCGTTTACCCGCGCTTGTTTTTAAATTATGATTTAGCTGATTTGCCCGTCAATGACTTTGGAATTTTAAAAATATTATCCCCGGGGTACCCATGGGTTCCTTAAAAAAATGTCAGCCTATTTTGTCCTGCAGTTTAGCCAACAACTGAGTTTATTATACAGATTAACATTTCTTAAAAAGCAAATAATGACATGTCACATATAGTTAAGCAAAATATCTTAATTTTAAAGTTTATTCTGATACTTCGACATTCTTGCTCTAACTTGCATTTTCTTTCTCAAAACGAGGGCGTACACAGGGGGGGAGTTAAGAGGGGCAGGGCCCCCCCCCCTCTAGAACTCAGAGCTATCAGACATAGTTATAGTTCGAATCCCCCTCCCTCTTTTGGTTTCATTGGTGAATTAAAAAATACAAACCCCATGAAACTGATTACTGGCCTCAAACTTCAATGTTTTTGTGTTTCTACAGAGGAGGGGAGGGGGCTCAGCTTCCGTTGGGGCCCAAAAAAAACTTAAAACCAAAAGGGGGTGGGGTGCAGAGCCCCCATAGCCCCCCTTGCCAACACGCCTCTGGTTTCATTTGCTTTTAACATTTTGGAAAACTTTTCTTATTAAACGTTTTATTTAAAATTTCTTTTTGTTTATGATTTTCTTGTAAAACAAAAATATATATTTAGCCCTGAAACCATTTTTTTATTTTTACCTTAGAAGCTGTCTTGAGTTGGTTAAGCAAATTATATCTGGCATTTTTTATAACTTTATTAATTATTATCCTTTTAAAAACAGAACCATATTGATCTGTAATAATTTAAGGAAATAATGATGTACAGTGAAACCCTTAATAATGAATACATCGGAAGAATTTATCAAATGTCGTCTTGACAATTTTTCAATGAGTTTTTATACTATATTATGTAAATTTCATTATTTGCGAAAATACATAAATAGCCATGAATATGCGGGAACAGTTTTAAAGAGTTCCATATAATCATTTAATTAAAAAACTAAATATCTGCATCATTCCATTATTAGAAAGTGAAGAATACGACATTTGAGGAATTCTTTCGATGTATTCGTTATTACGGGTTTCACTGTAGAACAATTCAAATCTACAATGATGAAAAGTTATGTAAAGTAAAAGGTACAGTGTTTCAAAAATATACATTGGCTGTCGTCTTTGTTTTTAATTTTATTTGGATTGTTAATTTGTGCTTGTTGGTTTGTTAGTGTCTAATAAACGTCAAATAGATTCTGGGAACCATTTATGAAATATAAAAGTTTTAAATAAAAAAATCGTAAAAAATAATAAAAACAAATGGGCAGAATAACAAAAATAAATAGAATGATAGACGGATAAACCACAAAAAATAAAATAGACAAAAGTTGCCATTTCAGAGCAAAAATTAAATTTGACATTTCAAAAATGCATAACGGCAGTGCAATTTAAATTACTAACAATAAATTATGGAAATTGGAAATAAATTTTAATTAATATTCTAATTAAAATTAATAAAAGAATTCAACCAGATCATTTAAAAAGTTATCTCTTGAAAGATATATAAAAAAGGTTAAAGAATGCTGAATGACTGCAAACTTTATACAGTAATGAAATGAACAAACAAGTTGTTAAGTTGAAATAATGTATTAAGCTATATAAGCCCTGTATACAAGTATACAAGTATAAGTATGTATAGTCTAAGGTACGGTGTACACTAGAGACCAGGATATACTAAAATCCTTTATACTGGATCCAACCCTGGATTCTTATACAAGTGTTTTATGACGTACACACACAATATACCGCAGACATACATACATAAATATAGCAGACATACCTATATAGCAGACACATATATTGCAGGCATACACACATACATAGCATTAGACATGGAAACATGTAAAGCAGACAAAATTACATACAAATGCCGTACTCTTAAAACTTCGACCCAAACTGTATCAGTCCAGGTACAATCCGTCCGCTATCTAAGTCAAACAGGACACAATCCACAAGGCTACAATCCCGTGAACTATCAACACCACTGGGCGCGATCTCTTTAGCTATCGGTGTCCAAACGGACACTAGCTATTAAACAAGCTCTAAATGCCACACAGGGGCACAAGCATAGCTATTAAACAAGCTATTAATCGAGCTCTGAATGTCCCCCAGGGACACACACACAAGCGTAGCTATCAAGGAAGCTATTACTCGAGCTTTAAATGTCACACATGGACACAAGCCTAGCTAGCAAGCCATTAATCGAGCTCTAACTGTCACACAAGGATACAAGCGTAGCTATCAAACAAGCTCATAATCGATCTATGCCAAGTACCTCAGCCCGTATATTTCAACGAGGACTCAAATTACTCTCAACACTTTTAATGAAAACAAAGTTTCTATATTAACTGATGTTTTCAAGTTTATATGTTACAAGTTAAAGTTAATAGCAGAGCAGACCTACTTTACATACCCAGCAGACCTACTTTATATACACAAGAGACATAAGCTACATACACCACAAACATACAATAAATACACAGCAGACATAAGATGAATACACAGCAGACATACAATAAATACACAGCAGACATAAAATAAATACACAGCTGCAGACATATTTTACATAAACAGGAGACATAAGCCACATACACCACAAACATACAATAAATACACTGCAGCAGTCATACAATGAATACACAACAGACATACATTTCATACGCAGTAGACATACATTTCATAAACAGCAGACATACTTTAAATATACAGCAGACATACATAATATACACAGCAGACATAAGTTACTTACACCGCAAACATACATTTCATACACAGCAGACATACATTTCATACACAGCAGACATACATTTCATACACAGCAGACATACATTTCATACACAGCAGACATACATGCTATACACAGCAGACATACATTTCATACACAGCAGACATACATTTCATACACAGCAGACATACATTCTATACACAACAGATATACATTTCATACACAGCAGACATACTTTAAATATACAGCAGACATACATAATATACACAGCAGACATACATTTTATACACAGCAGACATACATTTCATACACAGCAGACATACATTTCATACACAGCAGACATACATTTCATACACAGCAGACATACATTTCATACGCAGACATACATTCTATACACAGCAGACACACATTTCATACACAGCAGACATACATTTCATACACAGCAGACATACATTCTATACACAGCAGACATACTTTAACACAACACAAACAGAACAGTGCTCACACAACAGACTTACTTGTAAGAATTTTTCTAATAAACCAGTCGTGGTAAAGATGAAATTTTCTGAATTTGTTCTTCTATAGTTTTTCGCACATGGTCTCTCGCTGATAGGGGCTGTAAGCGTAATTTTCTACAATCAAAGATGGCAATGTCCGATTCCATCGGTACCCTAAGAAGCTTTCCAATATTCAAGCATAAGCTTGCTCCTTCTCTTCCACCAGTTTCATATATGATTTTTCAAACAGATTGAGGTGGCCGCAGTGCTCGGCCCTCTAGCCAGCCATAGCCTAATAATAGTTAAAAAAAGAAAATCAGTTTTTGCCACAAAAAACGAAGCTTCTAATATTTGTATTTTTGCAACCAGATTGTGTAAATCTTTGATATTTCTTTATTTGGCTTAACAGAGCCCGTGATTTAAAAGCTTCGGCTCGGGTCGTAATTCCTTAAACCCAACTTTAAGACCCAATCTTAGACTCAACTCTGACGACAGCAATTGTGTCACTTGATTGACAGCTGCGAGATCATAGGCTCAACTGAGGATCAAGGCCCGATAAAAATAAAACCGACCTTGGTTGGTTTTAGTGGACAATAAGGCTCGATGTTGAGTATTGTTCTCATAAAAACCCGGAATGCGCCAATTCCTACCATGAAAATCCACCAAATAGAATAGTAAACCGGTTTTTTGAACTCAACTCTGTCGAAAATAAGATGCTTGGAACCAAAAGCTCTAGCCGTAAGTAAGACCCAACGACAGCTTAGACCTAAGCACGTATTTTCCTGAATTTTTAAACCGCCGGCTCAGAATTCATCTAGTTTTAAATATCAAAGGGTTACAGCATCGAGTCGTTGCAAAAATTAGAGATTAAAGATTAAAAATTCAGAGTTTGCAGCAAAATTTCAGTTTCAGGTTGCATAGTTAGTTGTCATAAGATGGGGCTTAACTTCAGGTTTGGAAAATGGGCCCGCAACTAAAACTAAAGGTTTTTAATCTGACTATTCATCAAATCTTTGTTACTGATGATTCTCTATTGGCGGGATTTTAAGTTACTTAACTCCCCCTTGGGACAAAAAGTATACTTACATGCCGCTCTGCATGGTTTTCGTAAAATAAATCAAGGCATTTCATCTCAAAATATGAAAAACAGCTGCAGACAGCTAGTTTTTCCGGAAATCTATAAGTTTACCTACGGGTATCCCCTCAACCTCAACTAAAAATCCAGAGCAGACTGGGTCCCTTGGTATAGAGAAATCTCCTGTAACTTTAGTTATAAATAGTTTTTCTTAATCTGGAACTTTTTTTTTGCAAGAATGATATTTTCTTTGCACAGGTTAAGTTTGAGATATTTCCAAGGATTCCCATTTAAAAAATGATAACTGTGTTAGGTGTTAATCTGCTAAATGATAAAACATATTCTTACCGTTATTTCAATCAGACATTGCTTCTGGAATGTGCTAAGTCGTGAGAGATAATATATTTTCTAAGTATTTAATTATGTAACTAATTATTGTTTTTTAAAAACGTTCATGTTAAAAAAATCTAATTTTATCTCATAAATTTAAAACCCCAGACATAAAGTTGCAATGTTAATTTTTCAGAAAATCTCAAAAAGATAGTCTTGCGCAACTATCACTTTTGCCGGATCCAACCCTGGATTCNTTTTCAAAAATAAAATTGCTTTTTTAAGGGGTTAATGTTGAAAAAAGGAAATTTTCAGTTGCTGCATGCAAATTTTGGTGTTTTTAATTCAAATCGTTTTTTGTCTTGTGTTTTTTAAAAATTTATGCTTTCAACAACTGTAAAATTAACGATATGAGTCAATCAATTCTTTTAATGTGTGCGCGGAGCGCCAAAGAAAATTTGTTAAGTGCCTTGTTTAATTACAGATATAATTACAAGAAATAATCATTTATATATTCTGAAAAAAAAAACATTAAAATACATATATAATTTTAATCAACTATATTGAAAAAGGACAGAAAAGGTTACACTTTCTCCTGAAGTTATTGAAATTATGATTGATCATTCGAACCAACATTCATTTTATTTCGATTTTATAGAAGTTCTTTCAAAGAAGATAAACAGGTTACAGTTATCAATTATGATAATCAGTTAGAAGTTTGACAGGTTCAGTCTCAGAATGTTCTCTAGATTTGGAACTGAGTTTTTACCACAAACTCAAATATTCTAATCCCTAAATCTTTGCACCGAGTGGTGTAATCGTTTGATATTTCAAAATTTTACCAAAATAATTCAAAGTTTGAAAACAACTCGGAACTTGTTTACATTAAATGTTTACAATAGCCAGCATTGAGAATTCAGAAAGATAAAAATATTTTTTTTAAAACTAACCAGAGAATAATACAATTTCTACAATAACTATTTTGATTTTATAATTCATTATTCCTGACTCCTGTGATAATGATATTTGCAAATCTTTCTTTTCATTCTTCAAGGCGCCCCCCCCTCTCAGGTGCTTGGGGGGCACTCGCCCGGCCGCCCCCCCCCTAGTTGCGCCTCTGCTGTTTTTAACCCTA